TATATATAGCCTTAACTAAATATCCCATGGACAAACTGAACTGATCAAGAAATCTGCTACAGAGAAGCTTACCTTAGTGAAAAAAGCAGCTACATTTTTATCCTGTGCAAGTATTTCGACATCCACTTCTGTGAATAGTTCTGACCCAGGATATTCATGCTGTCGTAGTAGTTCCAGGATTCGTGGTGCAAAACCGCTGAAATACAAACAAGTGAAGAAAATGAAATTAGTACATATTGTGAGTGGGTTGACCAAACCATTGAGTTACATTTTTTTCCGATGGCAGCAGTTCTCTAAACAAATAGCATGCATATCAATAAGATGCTTTGCCATTACGAAACTAGGTCCTAATTTATTACAATTTGCACCTATCTGTGATTGAAACTGATAACTTAAATATCATTGGCAGACAGAAATATTAACAGGTAACTTGAAACATTAATGCACAGCTATACACATCTAAAACTATTGCATATTTACTCAAATGTACGTACAAGAATGATTTTCCTATAGCCTTTATCAATTAGAGAACTGGGTCTTGTATATATATATATATATGCTCTTGCACACACCAAAATATATTAAGTCAGTTCAACCGTTCGATAAAGGACTTGGTACTAGAATCTCGAGAACTTAGCCTTAAAACATATTTAGCGACGACAAATTATCATCGGCTGATTACCACGGAATGTGGGTCACAAGAATGATGCAAGGAAGTTTTTATATGGTGTTGAAAGAAGACATTACATATTCAATCGTAGCTTACCTCATCTTCTCCGTCGCACTCGGCCAAAAATTAGAGTTAAACTGTGAAAGAAATTGTCGCGCACACATGAGCGTACTTCAAGGATAATCAGCTGAGCCCCACTTAGCAGACCACCCATAGGTAAAGTTAATAACGGCAGCATCGATAACCACGAACAGCTTTCCCATACTGGGAATTGGCTAAAATCGTGCACTGCGCGAAGCATAAGTACACACTTCATACTCAAAAGGATTTTACGTATCCAAGACATGGTCAGCAATAATCAGATGGCATCATGGGGCGATAGAAAGGCGCTGCTAACGAGGTGCATAATAGAACACCCGCACAGAAGTGCGGTGAATCCTGTCTAGTCCTGTTCTGTAATATTTTTAATCGGAAATCGGCAAATCGTTGATCCTGCATCTATGCGACTCGTTGCAGATCTATCAACCGGTGACAGCGTGCCGTCCAGTTGTTGCATACAGGTCCGGTTTCGTGCTAGCCGTAATTTACGTAACATGAGTTTATATAACGTACCACAAACAAACTAACGAATGTTATCATTTAGAAGTAAGCAGTTGTATTTGTTACAATAGAAACTAATAGCTTGGCTAAATTTGCGAATTGTGTAGGTCTAACAGGGACAACTAAGTATCAACCCTTAGCATAAATGTTGCTACTGCCCGAATATGCATACAAAACAGATATGGCGGGCTAAATATGGGTGAAGACAGAGCCCATCAAAGAGCGATACAATATGGTATTGATTTGTGCAGCGAAAGAGAACACTTTTTTTCGAACGGACTGCATGAAGTTAGTCGGTGTAATTTAGTCTAATCGATTGTTGTATCTTATTTGGTAAATTACATTAAGAAATCCGGTCTCCGACATTCTAGCCTTATATGACGACACCTTATTTTTCTGCGCGCAATGTGTGATTGTGGCACGGCTATTTTAAAGGAAACCACTTGCGCACAATTTAACGAGTTTTTTTTATGGTTTCAGAAAGGGTAAATCATCCCGCACGTCTTACTTGATGCCTACGTACACCACAATTAAGGTTGTTAACTATAAAAACATGTCGTAAACTAAATCGAGATCACAAAGTCTTTGATAGGTAATAAACCTAATAGTAGAATGATAATCAACAGGAATCTAATCTGTTAACAATCAACACGTCACGCCAGCTTGAAACGCGCCTGATACTAAACTCTAGGAGGAGCGCGCATATTCATAGCTTTTTAATACTACAGTAGACAAGCCTGGTAAAAACAGTATTCATGTAAAGTTTTGTTAGAAGATAGTTAACTAACGCATATGTAGAACAAGAACTGATTTTACAAGATATATATATATATATATATATCTATATAACTGCAGTTAAATTTAACATAAAGTTTCAAAGCTTTAATTATAAAGCGGTAAAATATCAAATTGCAAATCCTGTTTGCTGACTGAACGCTTGAGATATGGTGCATAAAGTCTAGACTTTAGAAGGGCAGGCTCACATAGGGAAACTTTAGGCGTTGAAATTCTTTGTTAATTAAGTCTACGATCAATCGATGTCTTCCATCCGGCTGTACACCTATATGCCTAAATCAACATCCTACTAATTGCAAATAAACTGGATCAAACCAAGCTTTCCTCAAATCAAAGTTTGCTTACATCTTTGGCAAGATCAATAGACGTATAAATCATTAATTAGCACTGAATATCACAGAGTACTGTCGCTATGAGGTCTTAGGCGGAGGCATGAAATAGTAGCAAGGCAAAAAACCAATTCTGAGGCTCTCCGAGTTGCATCGAGTACATTGACTGTGCACCCTAAAATCTGCAATGATTATATTTTGGATAAGTAAATTAAGGTTGACCCGGTCAAAAGTGCGTGATATATCGTTATAGATGTAATGTAATGTTTTTGGGGATTATTGTGAGTAAGTCAGTGCGCTCAAAATCGCCTTGGTGGAATGTGTGACAGTTTGAAAAGTAATTCAATGATAGTGTTTAAATAAAATTTTCTAGAACAAACCATGTGACGCTACCTTGGATCTATCGAGTAGATTATATAAAGCTTTAGCAACTTTAAATCCTTTTCTAAAAGATGAGGTACCGATAATTATTCAGCTGATCACTTCGTCCTAAAAGAAGTTTAAGCTACGCTTAGGGTTTACCCTTAACTTTGAAAGAGCTTTGGGTACCGCCGTTCTGAACTGAGTACGTTGTACGTGATGCTTAGGGCGTATGACGTCGACCTTCGCTTGCTTTCCTCTTCAACTTAGAAGCTCTTACAGGTTGTCATGCCTACATAAAAACTTTATGATTTATGCGTATAAAAAAATTGTTCTTGGATTAGTGCCTGGGTTTTTGGGGGCTGGTCGCGTCGGGGGAGTCCTTTTTAGCTGGTCGTTCATGCATTCAATGAGAATTATTTTAAACCTATGTAGACCAGTCTTTATTGAGTTTACTCGGATACCGAGCATCGTGGTTTTAACTGGTGTGATAAGTCGGGTTGTTTCAAAACACTCGTTAAGGTTCTTCATTAAACTTCGTCAGAATTTGGAAAATTTGGCCCGGCCGGGAACGTTTGTTATTTGGTTGCCCATGTCGTTCTCTAGAATTCCGTATTTCCGTCACACAACAGGATACAACAACTCTATGCAATAAACATATAAACTTACCATCTATGGAATCTTCTGATAGTACTTGGTTTAAAAGAAGAAAAAAAAAGTAAAATATACAAATAGTATTTCATAATGTCTTCTATATAATATTGTGCTGTCAGTCTAAGTTACATGGGTGTTATCATTATATCAGGTAATGATTAAATACTAATTCTGTTATTAGGCAAAAGGGCCTCAAATATGGGGATCTGAAATGTTACCAGCATCGATGCAGAAACCGTATTTTAACATGCACATTTCTTTGCACTACCGGCGAACGACGTCTCTCTCTAGTTCCCATTAAAAAGCAGATACTAGCCGTAAGCACTAGATAATTTCAATGAAGCTGTCCTTTTTGCTTTTATAGTGATGTACGACGACAGAGACAACGTCGATAACCATCGCACGTATTTTCCAATGACAAACTGTCGTAAGACTAACCTTGATTTTCTCGTCACAATATACGTTTATAGTGCATTGAACTGTATATATACATATTGAACTACTATCAGCGGTTCTCGTGAGTTTTATATTAAGTTTAGCATAATTCCAAAAACAAAAATAAGTAGTTCCCTTAATTTATGTTTATTTGTTTCCCTTTGCGTGGAAACTAGATTAGGCGGCGAAATAGCAGAACGTCGTCTCCAAGTGTAAAACAAATGTAAAAATGACGGCAACTAAGCCCATCTTGCGGTAGAATAAATTGCATACAGAAAACGGATGTTTATCATTCATAATGACGGAGGAACAGGATTTCATATCATCAAAGCAGCAACCAAAACCGCCTTGGAAGAGTACTTCCTTGTAAACAGAAAATTCTATCATTACTAGACTATCTTGTCCATATACTTGTAATATATACAGTAGAGTTGTATATGAAGGAAAATTGTACTTATATATACGTATACATTGGTCAGAAAGTATTACGGTTTTTAAGCTGAAATTAAAGCAATTTTAATTTTAGAACAATACCAGTTAACTTATTACGTGCTTCTTTGATCAGTTTTTTGCTGATTACACCATGATCTCATTACTTTTTAAAACTTTTGCGCTTCCTGGCTTAAGAATTGCGGTAAGCGAATCTCGCATCTCTCCTGGAAAGTCATATCAATAATTAAGGAAGTTCCGCAGGGACCAAAACTTATAATAGTCTGATGGTGAATGTTCCGAGTCATACGCCGAATAGATTGCACTAACCTATCAACATTTCCCGAATCTTTACTGAATAGCTAAACATGTGTCATGGTGAAAGGCAACGCCTATTTTGTTTTCTAGTCAGAGTCCATTATTTTAACGGTTCGTTGTAGTCTTGTTAGTCGTTGACAATAGAGGTCTGAATCAATCGTCTTCTCTTGCGGCCACAGCTAATAATGTACAATTCCTTCCTACTTGCACCAAATACATAGCATTACCTTCGTTGCCACCAGTCTGGACTTTGCCACAGAATATGCAACTTTTCCTGGCTTTGATTATAATCTTTTTCGCGCATTATCTGGTCCACTGTTCATTACTCGCAATAAGCTGCTCCAGAAATGGTTTGATCTCGCTGCGCCTCTTTGAAGTTTTGCAAATCGAATTACGATCGAACAGATGCTTTTGCGCTCATTCAGTGGCACCTAAAACATGGGCTTTTTCTTTTCTAGTCAGTTTTCTTCAAATTATTTGAAAGTGCTTCGTGATGGCTGCTCAATTCCTTGACGATGTAATGGCTACTCACGTGTTGGCTTCGTTCAACTTACGCAATAACTGCACCAATCATTCACTGGGAAGAACATTTGTTTTCTGATAACGTATCTTGACCGTAAACAGCCTACATTCTTTATGAACCTAGGAAGCATTTGTGCCTTTGCCAAAATGAAACGAATCTTCACAGAAATTTTACTTTTTTGGCCTTTGTCCGCCAAGTTTGAATAAAGGCAGTCGAACGATCTCAGCTCGTTTATCCCTATCAGAGCTCAGCTTTCAATCGACGCAATCGCGACTCACCTTATTTGAAATATTCCACCTTTTGAAGAAATGTCGGTATTATGCAGATCACCCTAGATATGAGGGAATCAGAGCGTATGGCTTCTGTGGCACAACTAAGCCTTATAAGCTAGTAGTACATAGTTTGGATTTAACACGATATTCTCAGCCTGTTGTTGTACTGCCTAGCGCGTTGGCAACTAAAATCATATCAAAAATAATTACTTCAAAACAGAATTGCGTCAGCATGACACATTCTCTACCATTGTTTAACATACGGACGGCTTAGACTTCTATCGGTCGCATCTTAAGATAAATCCTATATATGTACGCATTAACTTCTCCATAAATTTAGGAAAAATTCGTGTTTCGTCGCAATCATTTTAACGTTTTCACCTTCGTTCTAAAGCTATTCCGCTAAAAAGTAACGTCATAAAGAATATTTTAAACAGACTGATTTAACGCTGAACAAATATTTTGCATCTTACGTCAGGCGCTGCCGTTAGGCGTTGGTCCGGATGGTTGACCTTCAGCACGAAATCAGGCGCATTTACTTCCGGTTTCAAATGTCTATATCACTTCATATTTGGCCCTTGTCTTCGATATTCTGTTTATGTGATTCGTTACATTCAATTCGACAATCATTAATATGAGCACGCACTTCAATTTACAGTTTTAACTGATAATTAACAAACCGAATTTTTAACGCTTGCATGTATAAGGCTTACATTTTCTGAACACTTTATACCCGACGATATAACTGTACAACAAATACATATGATGACTACGAGTTCGAATTAATTTGGAAACCACACACACCGGCCAATATATATATAGCTAGAAATGTCGGTTTGAAAACACTAACAATTGATTTCTTTTTTCTCATAATCATACATAGAACATTGATCAAAACAATTCTGCCTTCCTCATGTAAATCTGTAGAATAAAGATCAAATAGCGACGACAAAGTTGCGTAGAGGGATCCACCGCGTATTATTTGGGTGACTTAAACGCGGCTTGTAAAACTGTATAGGCGCGGACTAAAAACCTGTGAAAGGTCGTATATATTCACTAGAGCGCGCTAATATTTCAAAAACGGATGGAAGCCTGTGTCTGCATATCATTTTCTACTTACTTTACACACAGATTGAAACGTACTTACCTAATGTGGTTGAGACTAGCACACACAATCACACATTATCGCGGTAATAATAACAACTATGATGATGTTGTCGATAATAAGATATCAAGGCGTTACGTCAATTATTATACTCTGTAGTAATAGATACCCATGATTGCGTAGATTAAAGCGGTGGCAATGTAACTGGTTGTTATTAGCGATACCCACATATCATGAGTACATGTTCACGATACCAATGAATAGCGGTAGTGAATGATCGCCGGTAAGAAGTGTCAATAAATCGTCTGTATAACTCGTTCAACTTCCATCAGCAATAAACGGTCGAAAACATACCATCAAAAAACAACAGCAGCTTTTTGCTACTCAGAATAGAAAGCCAACCATAATCGTTTATAATCTTATGCATGAACAATAACAATATAGAAAATAAATGCGATTTTATCTGGCTTCCAAGAGTTGTTATAAAAATGATTGTATTTTCTATTCCTTACAGACACAAATGATACTTGACTTAAATCGTTTTGTTTTTTTAAAAATATTGGCAAAAAAGTGTGTTAGAAAACGAAATAAAAAGAAAGCGCGTATCCTCTAGGTGGTATGTACGAGACTTAGCTAGGTAAACGGGCCATGTTCCGTGAAGCGTGGCTCGCACGCTATATTGAAAAGTGCATAAACTCGTGCAATGAGGCCTAAAAAGTAATCCATATGTTTGTAAACAATTATACTTCTGAAAATGCAAGTTAAAACTGGTTCCAATGACTCCAGTCGAGCCTACATATCTACCAACATAGTTGCGGAAACGTTTGATAAAAATCGGTTATGCGAATGTTCACACAGTCGTACCCGATGTCTACTACGCAGAAGTTTCTGTTAGCCACACAAAACGAATTTGAACGTGACTGCATGAAAATTGTTTTACTCGCAAATTGTACTATTGTCTCGACGAACCATTGAAAAATATACCAAGACAACTGATCACTACGACACTTCCATTGTCGTCTATATTTTGCTTTGCTTCTTGAATCACATACGCATCTATATCTAGTGGATAAGCTGAGCTTCTTCTATCTAGACAGCTGATCTGAAAGGGTAGAATCCTGAAAACTTAAGAAGAACTGGAGTTCTGGTGACTCAAAGTAGGCTAAATATATTAGTTTTCCATATTTTAACCAATTCTTGCCATTGTTGTGAGGTCTAAAATTTTTTAGTACGAATAACTCATCAATGAGCAATACTGTTTGTACTTGACTCCTTCCTATGCTCAACAGACAATTCCTGTCAGCAATTCGTATGTGCAGTAGGCTTGGGCTTCGTTATAATGCAATAATAACGTATTTGTCTACAAAACTTATGGACACTTCCTGGTCTAGGTTCGAAACTGAATATATACAGCTTCGTTTACAGCTGAAGCCGACCGTCTGACTTGTGTATCGGATGTAAAACTCCCAGTCCCATGCAGGCTAATCATGGGTTCCGGTACGAGATTTAGCTAGGTACAAAGGTCGTTGAAGAAAAGCAAAAGGAAAAAGGCATTTATAGCACTAATAAAAAAAGCCAGAAGTACTCATTTTATATATATATATATATATATATATATATATAGATATAGATATATATAAACACTGAGATTTTATTGTCATCTTAGTCGTTATCTTGAAGACGCTGTCATTATATCTGGTCCATTAGAAGGTTAATTTATTTTCAAGCACTGCAGCCCGTTTAGTCCGTTGTCAATTCTCCGTTACCACTATTACCATTTCTGCGCGTTAAATACATATAACTGGTTTATTCGGAATAGTTTTTGGAATAAGTCTGAGCATACTCGTTCGCTAACACCGCTTAGTTTTCACGAAAGGAAATGCTGTTTTCCTTGTGGGGAGACTAAATCGTAGAACAGCTCATATATCCAGTAGCTATGTGACATCCGTGCCGAAACGCTTTCATATGCATAAACAACTCCCAAGGTCATGATGATCACCTTATAACGAGCACACATACGCACGCCATCGTGCTCAACGTCTTGGCAGCTGTTCCGTCGGTCAGAAGCGTTGTCACTTGCGCTAGAAACGAAGACAACTCCAGATAATGTAGACGTGAGCTACCCGCCTCCTCACGATGTTCCGCGTGTAGGCACGCGAAATTTGAAAAAGCATTAACGTATTGGTCAGTTTTCTTGCAGCGTGTTTATACAAAGGCAAAAAGTCAAAAAAAGGATAATGTTCTGTGTACTGTGAGTAGATTTTTCATTTTTCTTGAAACCTATCAATTTGTAGAGTAGCAGAGTGCATAAGCCTAATGTATTTATTTTTTAATTGCTGATTAAATTCCGATGACGGTAGAGTTTCAAGCGGCTTAGCTGATGAACATAGTTCCAGTATATTACATTTTAATGTTACACAATTGTAGATATAAGGAGTTATAATTACACAGGTATATAAGCTCTGCATTACACATTATGTACGATCTGGTGTTGCGGTGCGTAGTTTTACTGCATGCATTTTTAGAGACATTTGTGGAAACCACTGTCGACAACATCGTACTTGTAGAACCTTGAGTGACTATCTAAATAGAATTCAATTTGTTGGTTCCACAAGTTACTCATTTTACTTATACATCGGGAACATCACAAGTAATTTTAATATAGCGACCTCTGGTGGACAGGAAACACTTGGTGCTGTGCGGTTTGCTCGAAGGATTCGTTTTGGGTGTTCTGGCATCAAAGCAGGACATCGGTCAACCTGATTGCAGTTACGATTACCTCGATCGTTGTGGTCAGGATCTATTTTTATGGCACACCGACGCGGATAACGTTAGAGCACCAATCACCGCCACAGAACTTGAAGAGCACTGCGAGCGTCAGGACGCAGCTGAAACGTTGGCTACTCTCATAGAATACTAATACATAGTCTAGGGAACTTTCGTATCACGGCCAATTCTAAGATCAATTCAAACGCATATGATATTGGTAGCATTTTGACGCATATTGAAAGAAACATCCACCATTATATTAAATTTAAAAATTCAAACATAGAGGGATAAAATATTAGGAACCTTATTTTATCTAAGTCTGTTTTAACAAGCTTATCTATTAGAAGAAAAACTAGTGCACATTTACGCTGCACATCTATTTATGCACGTCAGATCTGGCCCGTGGGGTTAAAATTGCGGATGATTTTCTCATTCTTTCTGCTGTTCACTATATAATTATCTAATATACTTCGATATATTATACGATAATTTTATCAGTCAGGGTAATATTTTGTAGAAGTCCCGAAAAAACTCCACAAAAAACCAAATCCTTCACTGACTATTGGTAATTAGCGAAAATAGGATATATTTTACCTAATGTAATAGATTTCTTTACTATGGATAGGTTATATATTCGATACAGGATCACCTGGTTTATTATGACGCGTATCATTCATTATAGATGTGTCCGAGCACGAGCCGAAAACTGCACGGCTGGGCTGGTAAAAGGTACAATCAGATTTTTCCTTGATGCGATTCGTGATGAGTTCGAGACTCGTTGCGATCCTACAACGGCTCAGCATGACGCATATTTACGCATCGCGCCTTGCTTGAACAAGCTCTCTGATAAACTGCGCAACTGTTCGATTGATTTCATTCTGTCAACAGACAGAGCTGCCAACGACTCTATCGGAAAACCCTTGCGAGAAAAGGTAAACGTCAGTATTTTATAACTAATTCATAGCAATCGACCTAAAGCCCTTGCTATATGAAGAATCATTTTTAGCGATTTTATAATAACATACCCTCTGGTTTTAATACTATTATGAATTTAAAATAAATAAATAAAAGCGCTTTTACATTTAACATTTAATTCTTGGTAAAACTACATTTGGCCAGATTGGCCTAAAAGAAGCAGCTGGAATAGCGTGAATAGCTTTTCAGTTATCAATTAGGAGTTTTAACGATATTGCCAAATTTAAAACTAAGGTCACAGACTACTCTCTGAAAGTGTGATTTATTAGTTGAGTCTGTAAACCAAAAACTACTTAGGCAGAAATGACGCAAATGGAATACCCCTCATGCGGTCTTGAATTTTACAACAAATTAAGGGTGTATTCTAAAAAAATGAGATGTTTTTCTGTTGCAATGTTGACTTTTGCTATCTGCCAAATCGTTTATTTAACAGATTCCGCCGGTGTGTTGTAATTTCGCTTTCTACACCGAATGTATGTGCACCGCAGTTCGAACGTGTGGCGAAGATGCTGAGACTTTCATGCGCTCTATTCTGACCACTATTGCCGGAGATTTCGTCAATGGAGCCTGTGGTTCGTACGAACCGAATAGCGAAGTCTGTAAGCTGCACAAGAGACAAAACAAAAACATAGCTACCTCGCTAGAGAACAGCAGTTATAAGGATATTCACACGTTTGTCTCGGCTCTAGACAAACTCGCCATATCACTCAGTTCACGCTAAAAGCTAATTATGGAATGTATAAAGAAGATGGTCTCAGAAAGGTTGCACTAAGGTTTAATGACCTAATCAAGCGGCAGTTGTTAGGCGATTTTAAATCGAAATACAATTTCAGTATTACGATCTTTGAAATGATCAAAAATAATATAAATTAAAGGAATCGTAGATTTGCAGCAACCGTTGTAGAAGAACTAGGTTTAAGGTAACTCAAGGTAAGGTTCTGTAGTTGCTGTTGATGCTTGAAAAGTATGTTCTGAAAAATGCAAGACCTTCATTTCCACTCACCGTTCAACTGGCAGCTAACTTCTAAGTTATACGACAAAAAATTAGCGTTTTCTTGTAATGATATAGGATTTACATTTTTGTCTATAAGTGTATACGTGATAAGAATTATATAGGCCGTAAATAAATAATGACTAATGCAACTTTTTATATTTTTTGTTTTCGTTTATAGAATATTTTCATTAAATATTCATAGTCGTTCATTCATAGAAATTCATTCTAGCCAGGTGAAGTGCTTTGATGTTTTTCCATCTTTTGCACACAAAATAATAATGCAAAAAGAGAATGCGAATCTTCGCTTTGAAACGATTCTTAGCAAAAGCCAATTATTTCACTAGTTTTTCTGCCCAAACGAAAAAAAAATTATAATATTTAGTGAGGCACGTTACAGCTTTCGCGATAATCCTTAAGGTTCTCGAATGCCTTTAGTCCCAGATAGACTAAAGCAATAAAAAAAGGATCAGAAAACCAGTACAATAAAAGCACTCCTACTTACTTTCCATAAAAACCTTTCGCACAGTCTAAAATCATATTTTACGAAATCAGAAGAGAAGGAGAGCGCAAGCAAAATAATAGATATTATTATTAAATTATTTTAGGAATGGTTCATAATGTTGTAGCAAATTACAACCTGGCAAAAATAGCATACTATTTTTGATTATACTCTTGATTATATCTGAGCCAACACGATGCCAGAGATTCGGTAGAAAGAAGAAAAATACACGGGATATCCCTTAAATACTTGTATAACTTTTTGTGGTATTTCTAAAATATCTACATGAGGAAAAATCGTCAGAATGAAGAGTAGTTTTAAATTTCATGAATTCAGTAATATATATATATATATTCAATAATGGCTATTTGAAGTTAAGCTTCACCATGAGCTATTGGATTATAGTAGAGACTTTATATTCTGAAGCATTTGCATACAAAAGGTGCCGTGATTTTTTTTAAATTTTAGTTATGTACATATTCTCTAATTATTTTAGTACTTTTGATAATTAACGAAACTCGTCAGCGAAGGTCGAAATATAAGCACTCCAAAAAGTGTCTCAAGATGTACATGGCTCCTTACTCTAAATAAATCAGAACCATTTTCTATGACAGACTGTTCACATTTAATATGGATCAAAATCCATTTTCATCAAAACTACATATTTAGTCAAATCCTAATTTCGTCGGTTCTAAGAGACGCCAGAAAAAACCTGACAACGATCGTAACTTAAGACGTAGATCTAAGCCTTTTTTTACAAAGCTGCATAGAATAATAGTTACTACTCCGTAAATATTAGTGCATGTGAAGTGAATAAACCAGCTTGCTATGTACTTTAATAAATAAAAAAAAAATAGAAAACTTATTATTGATTCGCTTTTCGAGCAAAACATCCATGGCGCACATTTTCCTGCAAAATAGCATCAGCGCATTTCAGTGATTTATGATATAAGAACTACAAAGATTAGGTTTGCAAAACCGAGGCTAAAAAAGCAGCTAAACCAAATAGTGATTTCGATTCGTATGTGCTCCAGAAAAAATGAGTGCTAATGCAAGGAAAGTAAAGCTGATCTTTATTGTTGGCATATCAAGTATATATCCGTCCTAATGGTTATATAATAATTCATTTTAATTAACGTAATTAACGTTCCTATGCCCTGTCTACGGTGCATGACAACACGAGTTATAAATCATAAAAACTTGATTTGCTGACCTTTAACCAACTAACTATTAAGTAATATGAAAACTCGAAACGAAAACAATTCATATAGTCATATTTTTAGGAATCTGGCTTGTTTTCAGAAAGCAACTGCAGGAACAGTTGTGGGTCAACCGCACTGGGATGTTCCCATCCGCGATGTTGTCCAGTCCTTCTACGTAGTTTTCTCGGCTAATTATGAAGTAGCAGGCGTTGATGATCTACTCATACGGTATACAAGAGTAAACGCTTTATGCACTGGAGATTATAGTCCTCATCAACTGTCGTGACAAGATTAATGTAGCCCCTTTATAGGCGGAACTTGAATGAAATATGAAAACTTTTCACATACGTTGGCAAAAACATCCCATACGGATGTGTTAATCCAATGTAATTGCTAGTCATTTCCATAACCGCTTCAGTTCGGCAATTAAGCCGTATACACATTATTTTTAAAAATTTTATCTCAATTTATTTCGAACACCCTGTACTTCTAAAAAATAGAAATGTCACTGCTAACGGATGCATAGCATTGTAACGGTGATGGAGATTATGATATGTTTTTTGTAGCACATAATGCGATAGCATGAATGACCTATCAAAATTCAATCTCTTAGTCTATAGAAACACAAGTTAATATCATCGTGATCTATTGCTAACTGGCGTAGACTTAATGCCAAGGTCGATATAAGATTAAGTTAATGCGCCTGTGGGCTACTTTTGTTTGGAAATGAACACAACTCATTCAATCCCGTCTAAAAATGCGAATAGTCAATAGTGATAACTTCATTAATACGATCTAGACCGCAATACGGACCAGTACCATAAAAAACTGGAGAAAAGGCCTGCAATGGGCGTTAATCGCTACGGTAGAAATATTTCGAATTATTGCTTTAATGATAAACGATATGAATAAGTTGCCCCATAACATCTAGTTCCTTGAGTGCCTTTGCAAAATGCGATATAACAAAATAAAATACCTCGTTCTGCAAATTCTACACAATTGGATTGTCCCACAGAAATAAATTATAACCAGCATAATTCTGTCGGCACTACGTCGGTATATATCGAGAAGCCGTATTTTCTTATTTTATTCAAAGATTATATGTCATGCCTACAGCATATCTATACGCGTATTTAGTACAGAACTAGACAACGGCTAAGTGATCATTCTTTTTATTATATATGCAATTCATTTCTGATTGCCCCATAATTTCTATCGCACTTTCTATTTATTATATTCTTTACGCTTTTTAAAAATGCCGCTGGCTCACTTCCAGAGTTTCTTAATCGACATATTCTTTTCGGCATCCTTCTGCATAACTTTAGCAACCGCCATTTCGAAATCCTCTTGAGTTACGTGAACGCGTCGTTCCCTGAGAGCATACATTCCAGCTTCTGTGCAAACGCCCTTAACCTCTGCTCCAGAGGCGCCGGGCATCGCTTCAGCGATCTTTCGTAAATCGATGCCACGCGTAAGATTCATCTTCCTCGAGTGTATTCGAAGTATGTCAAGACGGGCTTCCTCATTAGGCGGCGGAAACTCGATCTTTCGATCGATACGGCCAGGACGAAGTAGAGCCGAATCCAGAATGTCAATTCGATTTGTGGCCATAATCACCTTGATGTTGCGCGTCGCCTCGAAACCGTCCAATTGATTAAGCAGTTCCAACATGGTACGCTGCACTTCAGAGTCGCCTCCGGATCCGCTCTCAATCCGGGAACTGCCGATAGAATCGATTTCATCCATGAAAATGATTGACGGCGCATGTTCTCTGGCCATCACAAACAGCTCTCGCACCATTCGCGAACCTTCACCGATAAACTTCTGTACGAGCTCCGAACCGGAGACGCGAATAAATGTGCAGTCTGTGTGATGCGCGACGGCTCTCGCCAGTAGCGTTTTACCGGTGCCGGGTGGCCCGTACAACAATACGCCCTTTGGCTGGGCAATACCTAGCGCTTCGAACAGCTCTGGATGTTTGACGGGCAGTTCGATGACCTCCTTAATCTCCTTTATCTGCTTGTCCAACCCGCCTACCATTTCGTAGGTCGAGTCCGGCACCTTCTCCACCATCATAAGCGAGACAAGAGGGTCGACTTTGTTCGGCAGTATCTTATGTAATGTATACGAATCATTGCGCAGAGCGACTCGGCAGTTAGGAGTCACCTGTAACGAACAGCCAAACAAACGTACAGTGTAATTTTTTATTGAAATAAAGTTGTCCAATGGAATATGACTGAATATTAAAGTAAATGAACACGTAAAAATTCCCAAAAACTCCCTGGAATCGTACTAGGCAACCAACTCGATTGACAAGAGGAAACTGCTTCTATGATCTCAATTGAAAGGTCGGCTTTTCAATAAGACTGAAAAAGAGACACAAATAAAAATCCGTCAAGAATAGCGCAACATATTTTTGTCAATGTTGTGCTCACGTGAATTAGATTTTGTGATGGGATCTGGTACCTGGCTCATGTCAATGTTTTTATCGATGTCCACGACGAACTTGCCCTCCGGGTGCACCTTGACAAGCACTTTTTTCTTATCCATTGGCTTGACAACTTCACCCACGTAGGAACCTTGCTCTTGCAGAAGTTGCAATTCCTCGCGTAGCAAACGAACTTTCGCATTCAGCTCATTTCGTTGTGCTTGCAGCCTGAAGCAGATCAAATAGGTCAGAATCGTGCTTTAGTCTTAACCGTCACCCACGTAACCAAGCACCTAGTGTACGTCAGAAGTCGTTAACTGTCAGTTTTGAACAGACAGCAAAGTAGATTACAAAAAATTGGAACTTCGATACCGAAAGCAAAGCATGTAATATGGGTATTAAAAATTACTTACCTTCTTAGATTCTGAGTCTTGTCTGACACAATCAGCTGAAGCTCTTCGATCTTAGCAATATAATATTGCTTTAAGCCCTCCCGGTCTTTCCCGACCAACGGCTCCACCTCCATCTAAAAGTTTGACAAAATGTAGTAATTAGAATAGATAAAAGGCCCTAAAAATTTTGAGTAATTACATATTTTCACAATACATGGAATGCATATACAAGCTCGATAGCACAACCGTAAACTTGTATTCTGTTGTGTAGCTTAAGTAGCATAGTTTCTCACTACGTTATATGTTTAAATTTACATAATTCAAATTTGTTCTTTCTCTTATAACACTAAAAAATTATTTTTCCAATAATTCACTTTAATCTGGCTAATTACCACGAAGCAGTGATTATAAATCGACCACTACTAATCTTATACCATGATCATATTTTATACAGCAGCAAATTAAGCAAAGCTCAGACTCGACTACGAAATAGTCGAAACAAAATCTAAGTCAGGTTATATAGTTCAGGTCTGTTATAAAAAACTATTTCTTGCATTATAAAGCATCTATATTGTTTTACGGCTAGCCGTTCACAAATACGTATGATGCCATAAAAATCACAAACACGAAAATACTCCTACCTGCGCCGGGGCAGCGAAAAATTGTGCCTAAAAATAAAGAATCATATAATGTGAGCAAATCACATCGATTGCAGTCCTAAAAACATGTAAGTACGCTCTCAACGGTTAGCTGCTGATAATACATAACACGTGGTGCTGACCTGTTAAACATGCGGAGATTTAGACGTCCAACTCGCGTAACTAAATCAATGTTTATGAACATTGATTTGGTCATACAAGTTGGATTTTTCTTTTAATTACTCGGCTTTTTTTGACTGCATCGTTCAAACCGTGCATTTGTATATTTAATTTGGACCACATAAGGAAAATTAGGCATTTATAAGGCCAGTCGTATGGTGGTCCGTTTAACCATGATGCCGGCAAGCACAGCTGATCAGTTTGTTCTATTTAACATTATGTAGACACACAGCCGTGGTGATAACGTTTACCTTTGTTCGATTAAAGTCTAACGCACCTTTTAGTGAAAAAAACCATATATTTATATCAGCAAGTTTGATATTATTTAAATTGATTTACTCTATAAATAAATGTACATATGAACTCATCGCTTCAGGGATAAACTGTATATAGAGTTTCAAACTATTTTTTTGTTGACTTTCTAACATCTGGCGTGCTATCGCTTAGTGGCGACAATCCATATATATATATATATATAGAATAAAGTAGACAACAATACCCATATGAATTCATGAGACTAAGTTTTAGCTAAATACGATAAAAGTCTCCATAGCATGAGCACAACGACAATGACTGAGCAAAACAATTGTCACAAATATTCACAGACTATTTTTAATCAACTGCATTTCACGAATGCCCCACTTTCTCTGTAAGGCTTGTCGTGCTGTTCAAGATCTTACTTCGGACCAACCGAGTCATCTCTCGTAGCTGACTTTATACAATTTTCACTCACTTTTGCATCTCCGGTTGAAGCATCGATGACTCGCATCTTGAACCAAACACTGGGTGTCTGCTTCTGGATAAAGATAAATGGCTTGTTGGGTAAACAAATATGGTAGAAACCGCCATCTTGGAGGAAGGTCAATTTTAGCACTATTTCAGTTATTTAACATTAGCGTGACGGAAGGATGCCAAGAATGCTCATTATTTAGGCACGGTATCAATTTGATATTGACACAAACGATATCCAGTCTTGTGTTCTGGATAAAATTCAACTTTGTCAACAGCTCCTTAGCGCCCTCTGGTGGGTTCCGCGTTTAATCGAGGTTTCGATCTTCATTTGGCGCCAAAAGCATGCAAATCAAGTAAAGCTAATAGAAATTGAATAGAAGGAACGGTGTGGGGTGGGTTTTTTGTTTAAGCTTGTATGGTGAACATTAAAGTAGGCTGTAGAAAAAGCGAGTTAGTCAATTGTATGTGAGGCAAAATTTGCAAACAGAGATGGCTGATGGTAAGTACGGAATTGATGTCTGGACATTATTGAATTATACGTTGATTATAAAGACTACACACACAGTGAAAGATCTAACCAATGCTGCACAGCCTGAATTTATTTGTTAAAGTACCAATACTTACGACTTAAATGTGGATATATCCAACGGTATAAAAAAGCGTTAAATAGAAAGTTATGTGATATTGTAAACGTTTATTCTCGGACCCTGTGCCGGACTGTGAATATACCCCAGAGGATAGGTAGCCTTCTATATACTGTCTGAAGGACATCTTCGTCATTGGGCATGTCAATATCAGACAGCAAGAATGTACGCGGAGGGCCCATACATATAGAGTAAATTATATCAGTCACTGAACAAAATGGCCTGAAGTCTTGGTGTATCACCATGAAACAGAAGTGCACAGAATGCATATGTGTCTTCGCAGTTTCATCAACCTATGCACGATTAGATAATGAGTCCTAGGTTACCTCTACTCTAGTTACAACTAGTTACTGTAGTTGATACGCCGTTATTATTTATCATGCCCTTGTTGTTGCGACTTTGGACATAATACTGAGACATTATTTTCATCTAACGTTGCCTACTCTGTCCGCACATATCCTATCATAAGATAATTTCACATACAAAAAAGGGTTTATTTTCCATTAATATTAAGGCTAGCAGATAAATTACAAATACTGCGGTTGCAAATTCGGGTAATTTTTGTGGTTCATCTGTTTACCAAAGGAGGATCATTCTGGACAAAACGGTGACATCGACTAGGGCTACATTGGTTTGAAATATAAATAGTATTTTGTATATGTGATCTGTGTCGTACATTTGATGCTAAGCTGCTCATCTTAGAAATGAATTTGGCCTGAAAAAACTAAGGACGTAAAGAGGTGATGCTTGTTCAATAGGTGAATGAGGCTTCATTGATATGCGTCTACATTATCTATGGTAACGTAATGGACTTTAAGGAAAAAATTGCAGTTTTTAGAACAAATGCTTAGAGATTACTACGGCGTAGACTTCAGACTCGAGGCTAATACAAAGAAAGAAACAACCGTAAATTTTATTGATAACTTATATGCTATACACCATAAATAAAGAAAAGCAAGGAAGGACGGTAAAGAGACTATATAAATATATAATTTTTACGACTACGAGTAATTAAGGCTACTAATAATAAAAATCTAATAACTCGATAGTCTAACAATGTGATTCGTATTATTATCTAGAACTATACTATGTGCTCTCTAAACATCAAAATGCAAAATGCTCAATACAAAGCTACAATACAAACTTCTAATAATCTGCATCCACTTGTACATTGTTATTATGTCTGAGTAGAGTCGTTGGCGTCGTCGCGTTCCCGACGGTCGCGTTCGGACCGTTCAGGTCGACTGGCAGCGCTCGAGAAGTTCAAAGCAGTGAAGAGTGGCCATAAAAAAGGCTACGATGTTGTCGTCGATAATGAGGATGACGTGTATGAAGAAGTCACTGAAGAGGAATACAATCGACGCGTTAACGACCGTCGAAGCGATTTCGTGGTAGGAAACGATGATGGTACGTAGGCAGTCGGAGTAAAATAATCGCATAATAGACACTTAACAAATTCAGTTTATTATTGATTACTTTATTAATTAGAGTAGTTCGACGACTTCATTTAAAAAATTTTATTATGCATACTACATATTATGACCCTATTACTTGCGCGTGCCGTAACGGCATGACCACCAGTCTTGTCGTTCTGCTCTTCTTTTTGAGCCACACGCGGGTCTACGTAACCAATCTATTTATTTCGAATTAAAAGTAGATTTTTTAAAGACTCACTGTTATCCTTACGACGAATTAATAGTCATTAATTATTATTAGTTAATAGATTCGTTGAATTATGGTGGTAATACTGAGCGTATTCATATTATTTTAGATTACAAGGATAACGGCTACGAAATTTTTGACGAAGAGTTCGAAGAAAACGAGCGGGAAAAGTCCAAGAAGAAAAAAGTTTCTTATAAACCACCCAAGAGCGCTCAAGAAAAGCGGCAAGAAGCCAATAAATCTGGCAATATTCGGTATGAATTATGGTTAAGATGTTTACTTTTGCTATTAACAGTGGAAAATTTAATACAAATGGTCTCATGCTTGAAGAACAAAATTCCTCTGGTACCAAACTATAACTGGAACCCATCCACGTCCACATAACTGTGTTCCGGTTTTTATTATTTGTCAAATTAACTTTGTTATCGTTATTTATAGGCTGAATAGTTCGTTAGGTCAATCACCAATATTTTTTAGACATTTTTTACATCATAATATCTAACATAAAATAAACTCTATTCATATTTATTTGTCCTGTTTTAGCTCCATGTTTCTCTCAGCGCCCCATAAACGCAAAGCAGAAACGGCATCCCTAGAGGACGACGATGTATTAGCATCTATCATGAAAGCCAAAGGTTTCGATGTAGATGACGATGACGCACCGATAAAGTTAAGGCCAGCTGGCGGGAGCATAAAACGGCAGAAGAGTGAGGTAAACTCAAAGTGACAGGCAAACTCACACTTTTCTAACAGCGCAATATTGCATTGTTTGCTACCGGATTGATTACCGTATTTTTAGTCGATTAGTCTTGTCTTGGGTATTGCTTAAACATGATTTAATATATAGAAATTTTATAGTATTATGTACATTTAAGTAAAAGACATTCCTCGCATGTAGTAGTTCAGGGTCCAGTTTTGCATTCTCGATTACGTTCCGAGAATTTTGAGTTTAACGTAACCGGTATTTAGGTAGTAGCTACACTCAGCTACGATAGATTGGTGAAATTGATTTGGTGCACGACTCTGAAAGCGACTTTTCCGCGAAATTATTGAAACTTCTTTAAATTGTGATTTCCTTTGTTTATATTATTCATAATATTGTTCGTCCTTACTATAGAGTTCTCTGCCTGCAAATCCATTTGCGAAGAAAGATCCAGTCAACAAAGCGAGTACTGCGTTTGAAAAGCCAACAACTGCAAAAGCCCAAGATGTGAAGCCTAAAGTCTCGTCTGCAGAATCCAAGGTAGTCTCTAGCAAGAAAAATATCCTTTCCGACACAGAAAAATCTATGCCCATTGAAGAAGGCTCAACTCCAGAGACAAATACTAACATTGAAAATGCTAACTTTAAAGAAGAAGAATTGACGATCATAGACACCGAGGAAATGTCTTCTAAGGTTAAGACAGAATCTACTTCCTATCCAGTCAAAAAACTTGAAGAAGCGGCAGTTAGTACGCCGGTTCAAAGATCACAGAAAATGTTCAAAGTAGAAGATCTATTAGATGAAGCTGATTTCGATTCAGGATCAGAAGATAAACCAGCTACGCAAACTAACTTAGCCACCGACCTTCTCCTTGTAGAAAACAACTCAGGAAATAAAGTGTTCCGAATGTTTTGGTTGGACGCTTATGAAGATCCAATTAATCAGCCTGGCAGTATTTTTATTTTCGGAAAGACAGAGGTACCGCACGGTGTAGTAAGCGCCTCTGTTGTCGTTAGGAATATCCCTCGAAAGATGTTCTTTCTGCCAAAAGATGTCAAAAATGAGGCTGGTTCAGTTACGCCGATACTGTTTGGAGATGTCTACAAAGAGGTGTATGCAGTCCTAAAACAGCACGGTATCACAGATTTTCGATGTAAAGATATCACGAAGAAGTATGTCTTTTACACCAAGGAAGTCCCTCGTGAGACCAACTATCTAGAGGTCCAGTACAATCCTTCAAAGGCCTCTAACATTCTTCCAGCGGACCTTACAGGGAGGACGTTTTCTCGAGTATTCGGAACGAATACATCAAGTCTTGAAACGTTTATCCTCGATCGGAAACTCAAGGGCCCGTCGTGGATAGATATCAAAGACCCAAAACTAGTGACAGTGCGACGAACAACCTGCCGGTTTGAGGTAGATTGCACTGATTTTTGTAACGTGAGCGTCAGCGAATCCCAAGCGGATCCCCCGAGCCTGACTATTCTCACATTGCAGGCGAGAGTTGTTCGTAACGAAAAGAACGGCAGGGACGAAGTCATCATGGTTTCTGGACTGGTCAGTGAGGCTTACCCACTAACAAAGCCACCACCAACGCGCCTTTTCACTGGACATTTTTGTCTTGTCGCCGCATGCGCTGACCGAGGTCTGCCGTATGACTTCAAAAAGGAGCTCGCCAATCCCACCACTAATCGTTTACGGATCAATGCTTGTGATAATGAGCGTATGCTCATCTCACAACTAAACGCCAAAATTGCCAAAGTAGATCCAGACATTATCGTTGGTCACGACGTAACAACCTTCACTCTACCAGCGGTTCTTTCAGCCATGGAACGGCACAAGATTTACAAGCCGTCGGCGCTTTCGCGCCTACATCGATCCTCGATGATCAACGTGGCCCGAATGGATCACAGCCATTTGTTGCCCGGTCGAGTTCTCTGTGACACAAAGCTTTCAGCTCGGGAACTTATTCAAGCAAAGAGTTACGACCTTGTCGACCTAGTACAGAATGTTTTGTCCAAAGAACACGATGAAATACCGGTCGATGTCATACGTGAGATGTATTCTCGAAGTGATTCCCTTCTAAATATTTGCAAGCATCTCATTATTGAGTCGCAATTCGTGTTGAAGTTGATGGCTGAACTTAACGTGCTGCCGCTAGCGGCCCAGATTACAAACATCTGCGGAAACACTCTGTCACAAACGCTTCAGAGAGGGCGCGCATTGCGGAATGAATATTTGCTTTTGCACGCGTTCACCGAGAAGAATTTCATTGTTCCGGACAAAAAGTCGAAACGATCACGCCGTCTGCAGAAGGAAAATGAAGACAGTAAAGATGAGAAGAAAAAAGGCCCTACATATTCAGGAGGTTTAGTTCTTGATCCCATTGTTGGCTTCTACGATTCGATGATTTTGCTTATGGACTTCAATTCACTCTATCCGTCTATTATACAAGAGTATAATCTATGCTTCACGACTTGTGTACTTACACCTCCTGAGGAAAATCTGTTAGCGGCGGAAACTGACTGGGAGGCACAAATTCCGCAGACGACAGTGGATGTTGGAGTTTTGCCGTCCGAGATTAAGCGGTTAGTTGACAGCCGTCGAGCGGTCAAGAATTTATTAAAAAATTCGAATCTTACCAAGGAAAAACTCTTGCAGTACGATATTCGGCAGAAAGCTTTGAAGCTGACCGCCAATTCAATGTATGGATGCCTTGGTTTTCAGGGGTCTCGTTTTTACGCCAAACCCATTGCGGCTCTTATTACACAACGTGGTCGAGATATATTGATGAGTGCTAAGTCAATGGCCGAATCAATGGGGTACTCTATCATCTATGGAGATACTGATTCCATTATGATTAAGACAGGAACCAATCAGATTCAGCAGGTCCAAGAAATTGGCAACCGTATACGTCAGGCGATCAACAAGCAGTATCGTCAGCTGGAAATCGAAATAGACGGCGTGTTCCGGTCAATGCTTCTGCTAAAAAAGAAGAAGTATGCTGCTTGTACGCTTAGTTTGGGATCTGATGGCACCATCACTGGACAGAAGATAGAGGTTAAAGGCCTAGATATCGTTCGGAGAGACTGGGCTGAACTGGCTCGTCGTACGGGTCGATTTGTGGTAGACACGTTGCTGGATGGCAAGCTCGGTGCCGATGATGCCGTAGATGCAGTGCATGCCCATTTGCAACAAGTAGCAACGATGATCAATGAGAATTCCTTGCCATTTGAGCAGTACATCATCACCAAGCAACTAACGAAGAATGTTGAAGACTATTCTGATGCTAAGAACCAACCACACGTGATTGTTGCTCAGAGATTTAACGTACGGGGCGCGCGAAAGCTGAGGGCAGGTGATACCGTTCAGTACGTGATTTGTGAGGACGGCACCGATGCCCCGCATATACAGCGAGCATATCACAAGGATGAACTCGATATGAAGGAATATGCTGGAAAGCTGGCCATCGACAAAACGTACTACCTCACCCAACAGGTGTTCCCTGTCGTGTCGCGTCTCGTGGATCCTATTCAAGGAACGGACTCGACCATCGTCGCCCAGTGTCTCGGTAAGCGTTGTTCTGCCAACACTAATGATTTTGAACTTTTCTATATATATAGTGGATAAAGTTAACAATATGTGAGTAAGGGGTTTTGTGCTTTCTTAATAACAAATGCCCTGACCGAACAAGCTATCGCTGCTAACATTTGAGTAATGAGCTATACACGCGTTCTGTGTATGTTGAATTTCGACGATGGAGGCTTGGACCCAAGCAAATATAATCGCAGGGCAGCATTTGATCCGTCGGAAGTGATCGACTCCGAGTTGAATGTAGGTATTTCATTGCTTTTGCCGCAGTCGCTCGACTCTGACCTCTTCCAGAATGTGGAACCCTTCACGGTGGAGTGCACCCAGTGTAACACGCCCATTTCAGTTGACGGACCCGTTTTTCAGGTACTTTCTAACACGATTTGTTTATCGTTGCTTCATCAATAAAATAAAGAAAATCGCTGTAATTATTCAGGTACAATGTTTTTTGTTAATCATAGACCCAAACGTAGTTTATATACACTGTCTATTTATACTACTTAGCTGTACTTGCCCTGGGCGGTAATTAGGTGGGAATCAAAAACCACTCCAGCATAAGATACATGTTCAAATTTAAACATTTGCGGGAAAACGTTTCCGAGATGCTTCTCTCAAGAAAATAGTTCTGCGATCAGGTGAAGGACAGACAGAGTCGAATAGACCTATAGTTAGCATTGCTACGAGGTTTTCCAGACCGGCCAGCAAAAAGAAAAATGTAGTCCATTTCTGAACGAATAATGTTATTTCACTTTTTTACACTAAACTATAAGTTTGCCTATAACTACTTAATATCACTAATAACAATATATCCAAATGTTCTTTGACTTAGGTGGTTGATAGTAAACTGCGATTCCTTTTTGCCGAATGTGGTCGCTGCCAGGCCCAGCTTAGTACTCAAGTGGAGCAACTTTGCAACCAGGTAACTCGGAGGCTTCAAAAACTCCAGGCCGAGGCGGAGGATATCACCTACGTATGCCAGATATGTGACTTCCGCCAGAGAGACGTTTTGTGTAACGTGCATGAAGAAGAAATTCCGACGTGTTCGTCGTGCGGAGAGGACGCACTTCAGCTGCGTACACAACAGTTTCAGAACTACGCTCAACTTCGGTAAGAATTATCCAGAGTCCATGTACCACTTGTTAATGAGAAATGACGAGAACGAGCTTCATAATTAGAAAAAGAAAAATCACTCAAAAAGCAAATATAATATATTCTCTATCTAGAATAAGTACGAACTGATGAAGAAAGAGAAAACAGTTCGGCAAATCTTTAAACGTTCTAATCGATATACCCGAGTAGAATAAATTGGGTATATAAATAGCACCATCTAAAGTGCCATTGCCTAACAGTAGTTACGCACCACGAGTGGGGCTTTATGTACGGGATGTGCATTCGACTATTTGTACAAGTAAAATATTTTGTTATCATGGCAGAAGCAGTAACACGAATCTCGGTAAGTGCTTAGTTCAAGGCTGTAATGCCTTCGTGTGTTTCATTTCCAAATTTAAGATGGACCAATATTGTTGATGGGTTCGACTTATGTATACTGAACTCAAATCAACACACTTTTCGTAATTTCGTAATTTTTTTGCAAACTACGCAACTTGAGCGACGGCTAATTATTTAATCAATAATTAAGGAAATTCGCAACTACTAATCAAAGACTCATCTGTTCTCAGGTATTGGAATTTCATGTTTGATCTCGATTACTACGCCACAAAACTCCCAAACTCGGAATCGCGGCAGCTGCTTGAATCAGACTCGGTCCGTATTCTATGCAACGCTTTCACCGTTCTTGTTGAAAATTTTCTGAGGGATAATGGGTTCACCATATTCTCGCTTCGATCATACTTAGAAAAGTTGCCTTCTTGTGAATTTACTCGAAGGCCCATGATTAGGCCCGATCTCGATATCCCTTAAATAAAAACGTTTGCTAGCCGTAAGAAATATAGATATCGAGAGAAAGTGTCAGTAGAGACACTGTCTGTGTTATTCCAATTGCATGGGTAGGGTCGCACACAAAAACAGCTGACACACCGAACAGGTGCAATTCTTAACTTTGTACAGGTAACGCAGCATGAATTCGACTTACACAAATTATCTTATTAGATCACGGGATATAGTTTCCGTCACAATTTCATTCAGCTTAATCCCTGGAAAATATAAAAAACAAGAAGCATTGCTACAAATATCATAAACGAATATCCGCGATCGATCTAGTTCTCTTTCGTTCTAATGAAACACTTAACCTATCGGCTATGTACATATAGTATTTAGGAGCTCTGAATATATATGAGAAGTGAAATTTTAATTTGAAAATAAGCTTGACAGTTTCTAGTAACAATAAAATTGTGAATTTAGTGGCACTGTGAATTTTCATTTTTAAATTACAGATATGCTTATTTATTATTACTACTAAAATATAAATATTTTTGTACTGAGACTTTTAAATAATGGTATCATTAATTAGAAATCCTTACTGTATCTACAGAGCAGGTAGCGTAAATAATTAGCATTGCTTTATTGATATGTTTACGTCGTTCTTTTTCAGGGTCAAAATAAAATCTTTGATGTCAGCATGCAAACACTTTTAGAGCTGAGAACAGCTGAATTTCATGGAGAGAATATTCAAGTGTCTATACGCAAAAGACTGCACTTTTCCGTGAAGAATTAATTTGTAGTCTCTCAGGCAGACATATGTGTTATTATAAGACATTACCAACCTATTGTGCCATACTTTGCTCCATTGGATTATTAAGTAGGCCACTTTTAGATTATCCTTCTTCTTATTTTTATTTTTTCTAGAAACTTCATATTAGTACAGAGGCGTTTCTTTATATCGTTCCGATGTTCTATTTCTTCATGACAATAACTTACCTATAATATAATAATTCAGAAAATGTGTACGTCATAGATAATTCGCATGGTGAGAGCCCTCCCTGTGCTTAGACCTGGCATAGATTATTTTAACAGACTTCTTTTAACATTATCGTTAGAAAGCGGAACCTTTAGTGGAACTTTTAGCATTATCTCCAGTACCGTATATTATAATCCTTAACACCCGAGTACCCAGTAATTTGGCTTTCTTCTATTTATCTACACAATACAAATACACATTTAAAGGTAACCAAAAAAAATACTAAAATCGTAAACTAAATAGATATTTTACCGTAGCATTGTTACTAATCCTCAAGGAAACAAGGATGCCACTAATCGCTTCAAAACGATTTCATCATGTCTATATTAACGTGCCCATGAAACACAGCAATATTTAAAGCGACATGGAGTTGGTTACTGAGGCTAAGCATACCAGATTATATGTTGAGCACAGTAGCCGCATAGTACGTCGATTCTATACAGAAACTTGTTTTTGGTTCCAACGAATGGGCTTTTTTCTATAAAGGTGCCGAAGACTCCATAGCTGAACATGAAACCTCTCTAGGTTATATAATATTTTGTAACGCAGTATATAGAAAAAAACTAATTTGGTCTTGATATTGTTAGAATTTTACTAATGTGTGTACTTGTGTCTAAGTGAAAATAATATTTTGGCTTAATTCTACTAGTCTACACAATTTAGTAGCGAGGTTAGCATGTCACTGTGTTCCCACCGCTCTTTTCTAGTTTTGTCGATTGCGGATTGCTGCTCTAAAGTTGTTTTGTATATGTACTGTTACGAAGGACATATAGTTTCTCGCAATACTCGCATGCCATTTATATCCATATTTTAAATAATACCGCAGAAAACCATCCTTGACATCAAGTGTAAATAGAATAAAAAAGCTACCCAAATAGGAGCTTTGTTTCGCTAATTTCTGAATACGTTGATTAACTGTAATAAAATCAGGAAGGCTTGACTCAATTTAATTCTTTTTATTGTACTTCTTTAATTGCATTTGATAGACTGTCAAAGCTGCATCCCGACTTCCCAGATATACCGGAATATACTTATAATGCTTAACACTTTTTACCTATTAAGAACTTTTATGCATGCCAGTGACACATTTAAAAATGATTTTGCGGAGGTTTCAAAGAAAGCTGGAAAATGTTTATAAGATTTCATAGTTTGTGCGTTTTATCCAAGACATATCAGCTAGTTGACAATCCTAATCCTTTCCTGTTAGGCTGCATTTTGGCGTTTTTCTTTGCTGCCCGTTACGTAAAACACTATCATGCTATAACTTTAGTGTAACTAACGCGTTTCCTTTAATGACGAATTCTCGATCGTTACGGCTAAATATTCGGTGACAGGAGGCGCGATTCGAGTTGGTCAGACATTCTTGTGCGGGGAAACGTTTGCTGACGTAATACGCTGAGCGGCATTCAGTAACCACCGTTTGATTAACGGCGACATAGTAGGTTAAATACTGGGTGTTGCTAGTGATCCATCGTTCTGGTAGCTTGTGTTTCTTGTTCTGGTTTTGACCCTTCTGTAACTAAATAGGAGTTGAGTTTGTTTCGACATTGCTGCTACTTACTTATATGTGCCTTAAAAAAGTGTTAAAGGTCAGTTCCATAATGAATAACTTGCGACATTACTCTCAAAGGCGAGGCGGCCCAGAAGCTCAAAGCCGAAGAGACCCCTTTACTCAGCATGTGTCAATCATCTTATTCCAGCTAATCCTAAATAAGTATCAACTTTAATAAATGAATAGAAACTTATTCTGTATTTTCCAATTTAACGTGTGCACTTGCTCGCTTAAGTGTATTATATCTTCGTATTCTGGTCAGATAACAAAAATTTACAAACAGTATCTGCCAACAAGTTCACCCTTCTCTGGAACTATACGGAGTCATTCATATATCGAAAATAACGCCTTGAAGTACATTGCTTTCAAAGAGCTCAACGAAAGTTTCCATTACTTCATTGACAATATTAATAATATCATTGTTACTGCTATTATTACCTAAATAATTTAAAGTAGATTATTGGCAAATGCGTTCCTCTGCCCCTTGCGCATGATAAATGTGCTCTTTTTCATATTAAACCAATGGCGCCCATGTTAGAACTCAGAAATATCTAAGTGTGGTGAAGGTCGCATGTTTCAACATCGCGTCAGCGCACACTACGATGTATGCACCGACGCTAGCCCGAATATCACCTTACTTCTTGTTTCCAACTCCAAAAAACGGAGCTTAAACCTTATCCTGTATGGCCATGGGTTGTTTTCTTCAACATGGATATAAGACTCACCCCTTCGAGACTCGAAACGAGTGCGCTAATCCTAATCAGCGACAGCCGACAACGACGACAGCTGGAGTGTCAAAGGACCGAGTGGTCAATCTTTTTCGGATAACCTGTTCACTACTCATTATGTGACAGTGTAGATCAAATCATCGTCGCGATGGCTACGAGCCCCGTAGTGCAACCTGCAGTAACGGCATCAACGGCAAGCATTACCTGAAAACGGTAACGCTTCTAGTAATAAAAGCTAGTCACTGTTTGCCACTGCCATTGGTGACCTTTTGCAGTAATTCAGCCAACTCTATAGTTGGGTAACTTAGAGCAGAATGGCCGTTACCAGAGACCAAAAAGAGACCAAAGAAAGAACGCTGTACCACCAACCCATAGTTGATTGAAGATGAATTTATGGAATTATTGATATGACCACCTGCGCTGCAGGTGCTGTCGAAGGCGGCTGCTTGTCATATCAAATACTGCTTGTTCAACTCTTCGTTGCCATCTTACTAGTGATCGGTAAAACTCAAGAGTGCCAAAAGCAAATTAAGAATCGGCGTTCATCGGGCAAACGGGCCAAGCCAAGTCATGACAGATCTGGGCTGGCGGACGGTTGGATGATCGGCCCAGAAGGTAATGCATTAGGTATGTATCTGACTGAGAAAAGGATTACATGCACGCCTGAGCGTCGCAGCTAGCAAGTAGCAGGCACAGAGTAAACGGGTGAAACTGGCTATAACAAGAATAATTCTTCTAAATTAAATGTGCTCACGCCTTATACATAACCGCATTGTTTCTTTTCTTTTTTTTCTGTTTTGTTATCCTTATGATCACGACAGTGTTTGAGCATACGTAAGTGTGATGTTGAAGAGCGCCATAAGAAAAAAAGGAGAGACCCAGAGAAAAGAATTTACATTGGCACTTCGTAGTAACTATTTGGATTACAAAGTCAGTCCTCATAGGCGCACACACTCGATATAGTTTCGGTGTGGGAAAATAGATTCTAGTGTTAACACTGTTGACGATACGTTTGGTATCAGACGAAACTAAATAATAATGATAATGACAGATTGCATATTTTGAGGTTTTAATGTACTAAGACTGAAATGCTCATATAAAAAATCAAGTGCTTATTAAAAAAGTTACATTAGTCAACAAAATGGAACTTCGTCAGTCCTAAAATAGTCAGTTCAAAGCAGCACCGCTCTAAGGAAGCACCAGGAGGTCATAGAAGAAAACCTACAGACATATATAAACCGTTAGGAATACAATATATATATATATATGTATAGCGAAATTTTTTCAACGACTACGGCTATTTAGCCGCAATTCACATAGCATATACACGAAACAAAAATGTAGTATTTTACCTGAATGAATGTGGTCACTACTTGCGTCCGCAAAACTGACTCTGGCATATAACAGGAACGATGTTTCTTCTATAAAAATTCACATTTTTAGTGCTGCGACCTGTTACTCTTCTAACGCTAGAATGTTTACCCAGCATTCATTAAGGTTGAAACTAGTCCACATAAATTTCACACCAGACGAATCAACAAAAAATAACGACACTAAACGTAAGCGTCGGTATGTGCAAGTAAAAGTTTAAAATAACAACGGTAGTTCTGAAAGGTGTCTATATGTTTGTGTTACATAAGCGTTGATCTAAAGGACCCCGTAGATCTCCCCTACCGCCCGCCCTACTGTCTGCCGCTTGCAACGCGTAGCGAACTCTAAATTCTAAAAGGGACCCGCTAGATGACCTAACGAGCGTTGTCTCTACGGGATAATAATAGAAGTAAAGCTAATAGCGACTTGTCGTAAACGCGTATCGTAGACAAGGCCTGATGACTCAACTAAGAGCTACCACAGGGCCGAGTTTTGACGACAAGGGGCTCTTACCTGCCGTTAGAGAGATAGCGGCCTGGGCCCAGATTGAGCAGAAAAATCACGGGCTAATTCTTTTTCCCTCTCCCCGATCGGATGGTATAGCGGTTGCTATATCGCTTTCTAAAACAAAAAATCTGGAGACATAACACGCCAACGCTGGGGCAAAACTAGCGAAACTGCTTTGCTTACCTGGGCAGAGGAGTGTGATCAGAAAGTTTCATCGGTCACTGATTGATCGGCCGATCTTGATCTTATATAACCTCTTTGTGACTCGACATGATCAATCGTTTAACTGTAAATATAGTACAAAAGACGCATGCTCTTTTTGCAAACGTTAGCTGCAAGAACTATTGCTGTTTCATATCGCCATCGTACATGGTTGTAACATATATAACAACTGTACAGATGTATAGTATATCATATATATATATTAGTATATAATTTCTTTAGATATATTGGACGATCGAAGTTCTTTGATCACATTCAGTATTTTGCTCAGGTGAAGTTAAGGAAATATTATGCGGATTAGATTTCATTGCAATTGTACTCGTCTACAACGGTGGCACTATCAGTCACTACAGTGTAGGCCCCGTATGCCTAGTCCTCGGTTCGGGACTGATATAAAGAGTACTTCAGAGTACAGTACTTTACTACGGCTTGCAGAAACACCCAGTGGATTTGCTCTATGGATCTGCCTGTATGTTTCGAGTTTTACGTCGGTGTCGCCGACATTAAATGAGACGAGGCTGCTTCGTCGTCATCATCGTCAGTTTCACGTTCTTCGGAAGCATAGAGTCATGCATCGTAGTCTGCTTGAGGTCTTAACGTTCCGCAGGTATTTTGCCGATAATGTTAGGCAAACAAGATATTCTGAAACAGGCAGTACAGCATGGGAAAATCATAGAAGGATACGAATTATAGCACCTTTATACAATTACTGGGCACTAACGTACAGGGCAAAGCGATGAAGCAATTGCACTGCAACCGCGTCCAGTGTTGAGGGCAAGTCGAGAGAAAAACGAGAGCTCATTTGAAATATTGAGCAACAGCAACAGCGGACAGTACTTCCCTATACGTCTCGACAACGCGAAACGCGCGGAGAACCATGATCTTCCCTCATCATGCCGTATGTACCATATGTAGGCCTTGTAACTCACTGCTAACGTTAGCCACGGCCGCTTAGACTTCACGCGTGTAACGCTTTCTGCAACAGAGTTCTATGAATTACGAACAGTACTTCGAGGCCGCATTCAACCCACTTCTGGATGCTGCAGAATGCGATAAGCTGCAAGTGGTGGGAAGACAAAGCACACAAACAGCAACGTAAACGACGACCGATGCTGTGTCCTCTGATACTAGGGCTAGCGTTTTTTATCGTTCGACTTAGTTAACATTTGGTCGCCTAACTACCGTCTCTCTCAAAAAATGGACCGTCTTGATGGTGACTTTGCCAGTTGCGCGCATCGTTGAAGTTTTGTTTTCGCGCAGGTGCGGAGCATGCGACTGTCAAGTTACTACTCAGATGATAGGACACGCTAATCGCGCAGGCGCATGGCTCCAAGTCGTGTGTCCTGCAAATGGTTATGGTGTGCAAAACTCCGTTTGAAAAGACACTACTCAGTTTTTAACCGACGACGGTCATCAGCAGCCACAGAAAGAGCCGTTATGTTGTGAAAGTTACGGTCCATACAAATGCTGTCGCTGGTGTAGCTTTCTTCCACTGCCCCAGTCAACGACTATGCGAACGCTATTCAGATGAATAAGATGAGGAGCCAATGGGCGTGGGCACAGACAGAACGGCTGGGGAGATCAAAGCCATATGGGCAGAACTTTTTTCAATTTTAATTTCTTCATATTTCTCTTTAGTCCATTTATTTCCGCCGCCATAGTTGTGATCAACCCGGTGGCTCGCCCAGAAATGGTGAGCATCTCCTGAGCACGTTCGAGCTCACTCTTGTACTTAGAGGAACTCTAGTGCAGTTCGCCATCTGCCGCTACGAAGGTGGTGGTAAAACCGCAAAGACGTTGTGTTCTCATATGTATCACCTTAGTGGTCTGAGATGGTAGCGAATGGCGACGCTCCTTAGTGCGATGGCGAGGTTGGTTTACGTGGCAGTTAGGGACCGTACGAGCCGACGCATCGCGCATCTGCCTGCCTAATTGTGGCTGCGAGCACTAATTGTGGCTAACAGGTTACTGCGTAAGTGGTTTTTCTACGTTTGTCCACTTTGTGCCCTTTAGAGTGCAGACGATCGTAGCGATAGGCCGACAAACAGACAAAGTAGACGAACGCGCGAATATACATGCAAATAGAAAGGGAATATATAATCGTTCGGGTTATAACTACTGGCCTTGCTTACCGATGCACTTGGCGATAGTCTTGTTCATGTTTAAGCTTGCTGAATATGCAAGCTTAATTCAGAAGCTAACCTAGATATGACGTTTATGGGCTTATAGGTGGCGGTTTAATTTGAAGTTAGGTTAGCTCGAATAAAGGCATGATCTCGGTCAAGAATAAGCCAAAAGGTCTGCGTTACGGTTCTGCTGTCTAATATAACTAATTTAATTGTGAAGCATTCGCTTTGTGCTAGTTGTTCTGCAAATGTAATTCTCTTTATAATAGTATAGGCCCTGCTTGTTCTTTCTTGATTATAGGGAAAAGCTTTCAGAAATTCGGTTTTTGGCTGGCGTGCAACAAACTCAATTTTTGTATTTGTCTTTTGCCTTATGTATGTTACAGGTAACAACTAAGCAACTAGACGTTTAGAGAACACGTCAGTCTTTTTGTGTTCGGGAAGGATCTAGTCAGTCAAAATACTGCGATCACAGCATTGTTTTGCATTCAGCCGCGTTGTAAAACACAGTATCTATCTGAGAAATAAACGCTTTTACTGTTCTTCGACCGGTCGGGCGTTACTTAGAGTAGCTAAATCTCCGAATTCAGAAAAGCCAGTTAAAAACCACAAAACGAGTGGCTAGGCAAGAGTAAAAACGCTATCATCATCTGTTGAGCTACGAAGCATGACGCGTGAGTCATCGAGCTCTTGAAATGTAGCTGATTTGTCAAGCAAGCTCTAACTGGTGCAAACTGCCCACGTACCAAAGTGTTTCATACCAAGCACGTCGAGCAACTACGTATAAGACATTTACAGGTGTAGAGTATGTGGTACTAGGCGAAGTATCTATTTGAGACCGCTAACCATCCAAGTATGTCTTCTGCTTAGCAAGTGATCCTCGGTAATGAAGGTTGCAACTTTACACACTGCGATAACGATGATGATGACGATTAGCGCCATAACCTGCAGCCCATGAATTTCATACATAAGTTCTTTCCTTTTTCATTAATAAACACTGAAGTCCACTGCAGTAAACGTGTCCATAGATAACGTGTCATTGCTTGACTCTTTAGCGGACTTGTTGTTGATTTTAGTTGATCGTGGTGGAAGTAACGTAAAGGAACGAGATTCAGGTATCTTCTCATTTGTTTATTTACTTATGTATTTTTATATGTTCGCGTTGAGTGTTTGCTTTTAGAAGAATACTAACTTCCAGTAAGCTAAAATCTCAACAAAGTAACCTCACTGACGTTTACCCATAGTTAAGGTGTATACAAAATCAAAATAATCCTATCTATATCTTAATCTATTCTGTTTATGGCGACTTTGTACTACTCCAGTAAATGTTAGTAATAACCCACTAAGTGCTTTCATCAATATTGTTAACCTGTTACTTCCTAGATTAAATGAGCCCTTCACTATTCTTAGAAGAATCAAATTCGCAGGCGGAAATCTCTCGAAAAAATCTACAAACCTCACGCATATACAGTGTTACACTCGATCTACCTTCCTCAGTCTAACACAATACCATATCGGTTGATATAGGCAACCAGTTTTTCTCCTCATTCGAGTTGATTTGGGACAGATTTGTCAAAACGGTAGTCTAACGGGGCAGCCTTTATGACGACCAAGGCCCCATTAGAAGTATTGCAAACTATAAGCGTGACATTGATCTTCGAGTTCTTTTTAAACATTTACCCGTTTCCGCAGGCCTCGCAAATCTTCTATTGTCAGGCAAGATAATTGAATAAATGAATTTTCGATTCAAACGTAGAACCACTGCTGACACTATAACTGCTATATATCTATTTCACGCGTGGCCCGGTAGATTAGCGAGCGTAGCCATCTCAGTTATCGCCCATCGCTATAAGAATCGTCTATAAGAAAAGACAATTGTATTTTAATATTTTACTAATCGGCTTATGCGACGGCCTGAACGACCTAGCCTTTGGTAAAAAAAAAGACTGGGAAGAAATCAATACTTCAAGTTCCGTTAACGTCACATAAATACCACATACAAATTGCTCACTTACTTGTATTCCATCATCGCATAGCCATGTTTTTTGCTAAAATCCAGAATATAGTATTGATTTGATTTTCTCTAGCCAAATGCTTTTCAAATACGTGAATAAGCTTTTCATTTTTGCCTCTGTTGACTAAGGAGATCATGAAGAAGTAACTGAGACGTATAAACGTGGTAGGCCTTTTTCAACTACTTGGAAAAAAGTGCGTCCTCAATCAAGATGCAAGGAACATGTTGATGAATACTAAATATTTGTTGACGTTACTATGTAATCTTGCTAGGAAACCGAGCATCTTGAGTAGACCAAGAAAGATATTTTTATTTTTCCAAAACTGTTATAAGAATATGTTTATTCTTTATATTTATATTTATAGAAAAGTTCTTGTGATCAACATGACAAAGTTGAATACCTTGTTCTGAACTGTCGTCGATTCATCGACTCTTACAAGACTTTTCACAAGCGAGCCGAAAAAAGAGAATGTCAAATGAGCTGCAAATCTTTCATGGAAATGAACCGTGAAATCATGATAAAAGCCGCACAAACATGCTCTAGGCAGTTTAACACTGTTTCCGTAATAGCTTAGTGGGTACCGTATTTGCATGCTAGTATGTGGGACACATTGTGATCAAGGTTCGAACTTGGGCATAGACAGGCAGACTCCGTTTTGTGCTGAAATCCAGCCGTCTGATGAAATGCCTAACGGCGATACCGAACGTAAAACTCCTTTTATTCATTTATTTTAATTTTAAATTTATTTATTTTGTTAAAACAATAATATTAAGCTAGAATATTTTTTTTTCTCGAAACTAATTATTGCTTTTTTTTTTTGCTCACCATTCGTCGCGTTAGACTTTTACACATCCGTGATCACGGCCATTGAAAGCTTTAGAAGCTAATTTATTAACAGACTCCAAAATTTAAGTAATCTCTATGCATACATCTCTTCCACGACATCTTAGACGTTTCTGTCTCGTAAACTGTTCTCAGTTTTTGACATTTAATAATGTTTCTTAATTCGTGTAACATACACTTAGAGTACACGATGGGTTGTAAAATCGAGGCGGTAAACAACGACTCAGGTAAATAGATTAATAAATTCGAGCTTTGCCTGAGTGATTTCAGGTATTGCACGTAAGTGATTTGTAAACCGGAGAACAGTTCTGGTAGCTGTTTTATGCCAGCTATTTTCTTTTGTATAAATTGATTGCGCATAATATTCACTATTACCTATCTGAGAGAACTATAATAAGAATGCTGTGACGGATTCGCATTCCAGTGACGCTTATACAATAGCGCTGACTTCTTTTGAATTTCTCATGTACACTACAAGATAGTTTACGTTTGGTTCCAACCCGCCTTACTAGACCACTTGACAGCAGTCCGACACGGATCTTTAGATTCAGAAATTCGACAAGAAAAACTCTAAAGTATCGGCATGCGCCACCTAAACGATCCACAGACCCAACAACAATAACTGAAGGTTAACCTGATCTGTAAAGATAACATGAATTACTGGAAAAAGATTTCAAAGTCTTCGCTAGAAATCAACCAGCGATCTTACTTTTGCTTGTTTAGGGACCTACCTACTTTGGCACAACGGCAATTAGCCTAAATCTTTCAAATATTCCTGTCTACCTAGTTTTAAAAACTCCTCCACATCTTGCATATCAGTATACAATCTGGAACCAGTAAAAATCACTAACCACGCATAGATCCATAAGACCTCGAATATGACGAACGGTGTGGTGTACGGCTTATTTTCCAGATTCAGATATTTGCCCCGGACTGCAGAGATAATGCTGCATTTGCTGGTGTGTCCGTGTGCTCATACTTATCTTGGGTAGTTTTATGCGGTCCGAGGTCGTTGCCATTGAGTCTAATGGTAGGCTACTAGCCCCGACAGCTGGCTTATGTTTGCCCCTTGTCTAGGTCTGACGGCCAACGCGGAACTACAGGTCTGGCAATAAGCATTAGAAGGCAAAGGGAAGAAGGCCAATGTTAGCCTGTTTCATTGACTACTCATCGCTGGTGGCCGCTGATCTTTCTGATTCCGGATTTACCCTCTCCGGCCCTCACGGCGTTCTTTTATTCGCTCAAATACGACCGAGCCGACATCTACCAGTTACTGTTAGATCGTTAGTGTTCAATTGAGGTATGGTGCGCACTAAGGCACCGAGCAGGCTTATAGAATTAGTTGATTTTATCTGCTACAGCTTCACGTATACGTTTGCGGCAGTTGCATGTGAATAAGTCTGCTGACGGAAATGACACTAATTTTGGATTTTGCAATGGAACCCGATTGAGTCTATTTTATCTTGCGAACGTCTATAGTTCTTGTCTCAGAAATGTTAAATATAGGTCCTTTCAAGCTTACCGAATCGCTCAGGCAGTTACATCAACCGGACGAAAAAGAGAACGGGACGTAACTGATAGATAATAACGAACCGGAAGTTGTGTGTTCTTGACGACGTTTGTGTCTGATGCCTTGTTTCCCTCTTAATACCCTTCTGCCTGTAAATCTACACATCGCGGTGCAGTGCCTCCAGTTTCGACATTTTGCTTAGGAACGTACGATTTGCCATTCACTCAAATCGTAGTTATGGCGAGACAGAGCAGAACCGTTGCGCGCAGATTCTGTTCAGCCTAGCTGACGGACCGTATAATCGCTTAGTGATGCTTACATTCAGCGAACTTAACGAGCTTCTGTTTTTTCCGATACCTGCAAGCTAACTATTTTAACAACTAAATCTTTAAGACATTTTGGGCCCTTTGGCAAATATTTGCTGTTGTTTTAGCCTTATGCCCTTATATATATATACCAATAACAACAGTGTATATATATATATATACTGTTGTTACTGGTAATTAAACACCTTTGTGTCCGCCGATGGAAAAATTACCATTTCTGCTGTGATGCAGGCTAACCAGGCAGAGAAAAATGTCAAAAAAGCGGCTGTGACTGGATTCAGTGTTGATATCGATATGTACATATTAATGGGAAAGCGTGAAAACCGCAAAACACAATTAACCCGTTTGTTTTAAGCGGCGTTTTTCGGATGCTTAAATCTGACCGTATTTAAACGCAATCTTTTCTTTCATTTTGTCACTTTCTCTAAAAATTCTAGACGAGCTACTGTCCCCCATGATATCCAAATCCTAGGAAGTATCCTTAGACGTTTTACAACGTATGAATTGTAAATAACAAAAAAACAAATTACCACTGGGTTATTAACACTATCTTGGTTTTATTACTATTATTACAATAACTATAATTATTTTTTTCATTACATTGAAGCGTGTTCCCTACCCTCCTCAGCACCTTCAGCTTCAAGTTACAACCCGTTCCATTTGATCATGCCTTTTCAAACCGCTGAAGCCGCTCGTTGCCCGAAATGCAGTCACCAGGTGAGAGCAATCGAATTGGTAAGCTTATAATTCTAACTAATACTTGACTTCCGCAGGCAACATGGAATATTCAAAATGAGTGTGACCTACCTGAAAGAAAATCTTCGCGGTTTTGATTTGACAAGTCGAATCTTCTTCTGGTCTTTTCTGTTGATTAAGACTCCATTTTACGCGCCTGAGTTCTCTGAATCAGCTTTTAACATACAGATGTAATAAATTGAATTCGGTTGTGCAAGTCTTTCGTTCGGTTTCAATAATGAATGATCTTAAGATCTTGATCAACAAATTGGAGGTCTGAAAACGTGTTTTACATTGATTCTCTACAATGGTACGCGTAGTTGCTTCCCGTTTAAGTCGTATCTTTCACCCAAATACGTAATACAAATCACCCAGATGTTAGGCTAAACTTTTTCCAAAAGCATCACGATTGATCCAATTTTCAATGTCGGTTTTAATCGTGATAGTGTGTACATGTCAGGGCGTGTAGGATCTTATCATGATCGTTTCACCATACAGGATGTTTCGAAGGGCACTTATTCTGGACTGCTAAACTGGGATAACTGAAAACAGTGCCTGCTACAATACAGGGAACTTTGTATAACAATGTCTCAGGTAATTCGTCACAGAGTCGTCCCTATATGTGTTTGCTTCTGTGAGTCTCAAACGTGCCTCACTGGGATGCCAATCTGCTGAGTCGTGTTTGCTTCAAGAACGTATACTGTTGTTTTCTTGCTGCTTATAGTGTTGAATGCAAGGGAGTGTGCGAGGGCGCCTGAGTCTTGTAATGTATCGGCCTACAGTTTTAGCTCTTCGTGGCGTCCAGACAAACTTGGACGACTGCACAAGGCCGATAAAGGCTTGGCAGTTCAATCTCTAGTTCTTGTGAACCGTATCTCTTATTTAAGAATGCGTATGTGCATAGTATGTTAGCCAAGCCTGGTACTAAGGCTACTCGACTTCTATAATGGTTTCGCTTTTTATGATCTGCAGACCACTCTGCGTGGATGCTTCTTAAGCTCATATGCCACGCAATAAGTGCTCCATCCGTTCTCAGTAACAATGCAACATAACTGTTATGAAAGACGTGACCGGATTGTCCGCAAATAGCTTGAAGGTTTCGATTGTGGCAAAAGTAATACGTAATTGCTTAAACGTATGTTCTGATCCCTCACATTGTTTAAGTGCACTGTGTCACTGACGAGAACATTTTCATAGGACATTCAGTACAACGAACAATGATTTCTAGTTTACCCTTTCTTTTGCTGGCTTCCTCGCGCTCTTGCGTATACTCATGGATCAAGAGAAGTTCGAGCTGATCACATATAATACTGAATAACTAGAGAGATCACGGGCGCTTGGATGGAAAATAACATGCATTCAAAAAAAAATGGAGCAATGGCGAGACGTCCGTCACGAAATCCCACATACGAATTCTGACTTCGAAGCTTGGAATAGACACATTTGTTTCGTGCTCAAGGCCAACCGTCTAATGTAATATTAATACCACTCCGGGCATAAAACTCCGAACATGTAAGATTTACAAATGGCGGGTCAACATTGAGATAGGTTTTCTAGGCTTAAGAATAGACTTCAAATATTAATATCAAACGTTAATTCGACTTTGTGTTTTTTAATTTCGGTAACAGATTTAGCAGAACGATGGATTTGATTATTAGAAAAGCGAGGAAACATGAATACTGATACTTTAGTTAAATAAGAAATTGTCTTACTTCGTAGGATGTTGCGTAAAGGTGAATAGTTTCATGAGAAAGATCTCCTTATGCCCATTTGTGGTTTCCCAGGGTTTCGTCTTAGTTTTCCTATATTTTTGTTATTTTTTAGTTAACAGACATTAGCTTTGTATTCCCCATGAGTTATTTTAACTTTATGCTGATTAGCATTTAATATAAACTTAGGACGATCCTGTCATTACAATCTATCAGTTTCTTTATTGAACCTATTAATGTACTTCGATGGTCATTCGAGTAATGTGAGATACCCGTTCTGTTAACAGGTGTTCGCCGCCGAGGAAATGCTCGCCGCCGGCGCTAAGTGGCACAAAATCTGCTTTACCTGTGGTAAGTTCTCAGTTGTAGTAGTGATCTTTTATATGAAACCATCATTTAAGCTTCGCAGAAAATGCACTCACGAGGCGTATAATAAACGAGCAGCTAGGAAAAGTGCGAAAATCGTCTCAAGTCTAAATTGTCAGTATAATATAATAGGTAGCTGACGTATTTTCGACTTGAATGTATTGTTTTTATATTAAAAAAGCTGTTCTTCTTGAACAAATTGCGACTACGGCATCTTGAACTAATATGTGAATATGTGTCGCCGCTCTTTGCCTTGATATAATCATACTATTTGTCACTGCTATTTAGTGTGGGCATTTTTCTTACTTATACGCAGGACTTTGTAAGAAAAGGTTGGATTCGACCAATGCCACCGAGCATAATGGCGACCTCTGGTGTAGAATCTGTTATTCGCGTAAGTTTGGCCCTAAGGGAGTTGGATTTGGTTGTGGAGCCGGCACCCTCAACATGGACAAGGTGAGACTGGCTGTAGATCGAGATAGTAGAGAAAAGTATCAACAATCATGATAATTATAAATAATCATCAGCATAATCATAAAAAATCCATGACAATTTTTGCCACTTGTTGACCTAGGTATTCGCACCTGATAATCAGTAGAAGCACCCTTGCCCATATAGACTTATCTGTCCCAGTTAAGATCCTTTTACGTACCTAATTGCTTCATAGACCTTCACAAAGTGGTTTATGTTACCAAATAAAATCCAGAATCTGTATTTTAAACAAAAGTAAAACTAAGAGCATGATTCTACCGTTGCTATTGTTTTTATCGATAGGGTGAAATCTTCGGCAACCAAGAATCTGCTGCCAATAAACCGATGGACCCGTACTACGGCATGAACTCAAAATTCATCAACTTGTTCATCATGAAGGGCGCCTCTATGGGAGGAACGTCCTCCAAACCCCAGTAAATTAGCAAATCTATATACCATTATAAGTTTACTTCTTTTCATAGAGGGATAGGACCATTAAAAAAACACGAACATTTTTTTTTAAATCGAAGTTAGCTCACTAACTTTCGTATCGAGCTAGTGCTTTAAGTCAGTCACACGAAACTGTCATTTGGGCGCCTTAGATTCTACTGGCTGAGCAATGCTGATCAGTTGATTTTAAAGCATTGCGTAATAATAGAGTATGATGCTGGCTCACGAACGCATACTTGTGATGCCCAGAATAGGGCACAGGACAAGCAAAGCCATGTTTCTTAACAAAAAGCTAATCAAATGCGAAATTAGATAATATCCATCTCCGAGGGTCGCTATATGAGTCACATAGCTCATCTACGTAGCAATAAATTGTACATTTTTTTTACCAATCACCTTGACAATAGCTACCATTAGGATTGAACTCAGGAACCGTACCATCAGTGTAAGCTTTTGCCTTACTGTGATACGAAGAAACATGGCTTTGATCGTAATACTGTTTGTCTGTCTATTATGCAACCACACGCAGATTTATAGACCAATTGTGTTTTATTAATTGAATAGTGAATCTACAGTCAAACGACTCCGTGAACAGGATGCATGCACCGCCTGACCATCAAAGCATTCGATGTCTAGTGCCATTATGGCACACTAGCTGTATGACCCGCAGGCCCATTTCAGTCCCATCTAAAGGCCTCTATCTAATCATATTGCTTCCCAGCGAAGGACATAATTTTCATCGAATTGTCACCGAAACAAAAAACATGCCTCAACTGTCACCGTAAACCTCATTGTATCTACAATCGAATAATGTGGATGTACGTAGTCACTTTACCAATGAAAATGCGTGACGACTGAAGCTAAACCTAAATTGAACGTGCTCAATTTTTGGGGATCCATGTAAAAGTTTCATCCGCTGTTTCATTTCTACAAATTTGTGCTTCAAGTGCTCTGCCCCGACTGTTGATCATTGATACGTCTACTATTAATTGCCATGCGGAATAGTTGTCATTGGTTATCGTTGTTGCAATGATAATGACGATTTTCATTTATATTTGTTTGTCATTTCCCTTGTCCTGTTAGTATACTTGCTGCTGAAAGGTCATGGGTGGGTAGTTTTCTCTACAGAGCTCCCGAAGGGGAAAATCCCTAACGGAGCGCTCTAAACGATGCACGCACTTCCTACAAATAAATTCTGTACATTTAAGGAACACCTTGAGAAATAGTCTTTATTATTTTTGTTTACCTTCATTCGCCTTTTTTTGTAGGGAGCGTTCTTGCGTGCCTATGTGAAAATATTTTAAATTCTTCAAATTGATCTCTTTCTCTTAGAACTAAGCGACCACTAACTGAGTACACATGCAAAATTTGCCACTCACATGATTCTGTCCCCAAAAAAGCGCATTGAAGGACTGAACGTCGTTCTTCCTGTAAGTAACGTTAATATTTGATAATTATCGTCGAGGAAAAGTAGTTTAACAATCCACTAGATTTATAAAAATAACCGTGATTCGGACCGATAGTCGAGAAAAGTTAATGATTGGGGCCATACTGCGTATCATTGCAACGCTTCATTCTAGACACACACCTCCATTAACTATTACCCGTTGCTTTCGTCGTCTGCTCTTTGTAAAATCTGACGAATTGCTTATATTTAAATGTCCCACACGGTGCGCTCTGTTTCTAACGTTTGTCAAAAGAAGAGGGGTATGCCGCAACTATTTAAGCTAGCCTTTTTATCTTGCAGGAGAACGAAAATTGAAAATCCTTTTTGGATGGCAGACTTGACTCTGTGCAAGATTCCGAAATAGGCAGCAGGTAGTTTTTGCCCAATATAAGCGAACGATGTAAGATGCCGTTAAAGCTACATTTATCTGAAGAGGGCTCGCTGCTGTTTTGGGGCAAGTGCCGTTATAGGTTATGAATTGATGCGGCGCGCACGGACGCTTCGTGTACTCTGTCCTTCATATGTGCACGAAACGACTTTAATTCAAGCTGAGTATCTTTATAAGCTGACTAAATATTTTTTAAATATGTGAAGTTTTTTTCATTAAATTAAAGGTATTAGGGCCGTGTAACTGAAGCTTGCTACCCCTTGTCGCACGTGAAATCAACTGCTACCATACAGTTTAAGGTGTTTCGTGTACATGATGATTTTTAATAACGGGCGCTTGCTAGGTATTTGGTGTAGAAAGTTGGCGACCAGTAACGCGAGTAACTATACGAATAATAGGTATATCCCTTTAGACAGATCTATCCACTGTGCCAACTTTTTGAGTACCAGGGTTCGCAAACTTGAATCAGATGCGTGTAAAAAAAAATCTGCGAAAACACTATGTATGAATTCTCCCTTGAGAGTATTTTTTCCAACAGCACTTAGGAATCGGGTGCTCCTCGTCAGGCAGATTTCGTCCAAACCTTAAGCTTAAAAGAATCGATTTTCCTGACTCTTCGACGACGATAAGTGTTAATATACACTTATCTACCTTTAGTGTGCTTTTGGTAGTAAGGCAAAGGTTAAAGAGGCTTGCCTAGCACGAATTTGATAAAATTGTGTGCCAGACGTTCATTACCTAAGTTATCCAGGCCTAAAAATTTGGACATTGCCATGCGGCCTTGACAAGCACTTGATTTCTATAATATAGCTTTAACCGCATTTGGTAAACACTATATTCATAAGCCCAGGCACTGAGGTACGGAGAAGCATTGTACGAAATGTTACATCAGTGTATTGTTATACGGCCTTTTAGACCTTTAGGGTTTGTGTAACATAGTATACTTACACCTTACAATTTCCGCAGCTATAGGCCGAGGCACGCGTAGACCTTCTAAGAGGGCATAATTTTCGCCTACACCTATACTTCTGTTATAGTGTAGGTTTGTATCGAGCTATTTCAGTGCCGTAGTAGGCGTTGATTTTTGATCTTTAATTTCTCCGACATGGAGGACCTCCTATGGTCTCTGTTTAAGTTCATTGTAACTTCACTTCGGATCCGAGCCCAATGAGTAATTATTATTTTTTTTCGACAGGTTCACGTTCTGTTAATAGAAACTTGACTTTAGTTACGGTCAAATTCATCGCAAATATCTCTATAACTCAGGTGTTTATCGGTACGATAAACGTTGGACGTAAGTTTGTCGTTCAACATAGATTCCTCGGTCGCACTGCAGCGGACCGTCTGTTCGTTTGCATGACTAAACTTGAACTGAAATCCCAGAAGTTGCGTCTCTCCGTGCAGTAGGACAAAATATAATTTGTTAATAATACATTTAGGTGAACATTTTTAGCTCTGCATTTACCTTTGTCTCGGGTCAACAAATCATATCTACGGCAATATAATAAATATAAAAATAGTCTATAGAATAACAGCTCCAATATTAGCTTTCATTTCATAATTTATTATTATTGCCATATATATAATGATAATCAATTTCGTCACAGACCTAATGTTAAGTAGCTTTGTCCGAGCGTCTATTGAAGCCAATTATGGAATTAGCTCATTACGTCATTTCGAAACTTTGAAGGTTCCTTTCCAGCATCAACTGATCTTCTAGCATTTCGCGACGACTGAGTAGCTTTACGTCGCCATTTCTGAGTACCATTACCTACAAAAGATATATTGCCATGTTATACGGAAGTCTCATCCCTCTCACTTAATATAAACATATTGCCACATTTAAGGTCTAACGTACGAAGTCAATGTAACTATGTAAAGATGTTTACAGTAACAAAATGCACGTAGGCATCTATACACGATACCACTGGAGAAATCATCTCGAAGGCCATCGATATACGCATGATGTACATAAATCTAAAATTCTAAATTTATAAGGTCAACTATAGCGTACGATTATAGCTTCACGTTGGTAAGATCTAGAATTTAGAAATGCCAACATAAATTAGGTATGGTGTTAGCTTTGATTGAAGCAAGCTTACCTGTGCTGGCCTGCAGCGAGAATTATAATTTGACGCCATGCTATACCCATATGCCCCAACGTCCGCTACGGCAAGAAGGTCCCCTTCATGAAGAACTGGAAGAACACACTAAAAAGATACGCGTCCGTGTAATTAAATCTAATTGGGTCTAACCTCTTGTTGTGTTACATATAATCACCATATTATATTACTCAACTGGGGTTTGTTGTAGCAGATTGTAATATATTGCTTCAATATCAGCTCTAATCGATAGTATTTTTCCAGAAATTACTCTTACGGAATAAAGCCGTTGTTTTTCATATAAATTTAAAATAATTAAAAAGTCGTATGCCTATTCTCCGCAAAGCGGCGGGAAACTTTGAGTCGAAGTTTAATTCCTTGTGTACCTATTCACTTTTCAAACAAACAGAATAGCTGATTTTGGCAGAACGCAAATAAAGAAATTGTTTGTGCGACCTACGACGTACTGGTACCGTCGTATGTTTATTGGACTAGCACCTCCAATGGTGCTTTTATGCTCGGATACCTCCGTTCTACAATATGGCTTTTGATGGTTTCGATTTATTAGTTGCAACAGTTCTAAAGATACCTGCAATCCTAGGAAATCCGCGCACTCACATACGGGCCCGACGACGTCGTATGGTAACGTGCCGGCTTCCCCACTGGTTCTGCGGTTAACACGCGGGCTTGGCATCGGGGGTACCGAAGGTGTTTGTTGTTTTTTGAACAAGCGACTGCCCTGCATCTCTGATAGAAGACCGTCTAGCGATTCCCGCGAACCTCGAAGATCCGACGGGATGCTATCGACTTTTGAATCTGACTTGTTGGTAATGATGCTGCTGTTGTTATTGCTTTCATCCCGGTTTGTGGTTATCAGTCTTCGCGTTGAGCGTGGGCTGGGTACTGGTCGACGTTCTTCACCTGGCGACCCCGATGCCTGACGCAGACCGTCAGCCTTCCGCCGATCAATGCTAGCTGTTTTCGAAACGACATCATGCGATGCACCCCAGTGGCAAAGATATGTTGCTTGTCCATTTGAATGAATCACCGATGAAGCACACGCTGTGGTAAGCTGCCCAACCAGTGCAGAGGGAGATACTGAAGGTGGTTCACATTCGGCAACTATACGGTGATAGCCACCGTACACGGCAGGACGGATAAAATCACTATCACATATACAGAAGGAACTCAATTAGTTGGTAACCGTAACTAATTCATCTATAGCTACTAGTGGTTGTATACCACTTACTGTTTATGATGCTTCTTCGCTATTTATGAGCATATATCAATGTTGCGTTTATTAAGGGCTGTCATATACGAGCGCACATAGATGCAGCGCAGCAGTATGCCTGTGGTCATGCAAAGATTAATAATGAGATAAATATGTATATGACGAACAAGGTCGTATCCCATGTAACACACATTTTTTGTGTAAATACAAATCTTACGTCATAGTTGCGTCTACGAGAGCGAAGTGGCGTCCACCGCTTGAGTTTGTATACTCAACTCGGGTCAATAAAACTGCACTTTGTGCGACGATTGAACGTCCAGGCTCGAGATACACGTTTAACCCTAAGGGAGACCAAGAGCGAAAAAAATACATTACATGTAAAAAGAAAGCAAATATGATATAGACTAATTACATAAGATAAAGCGCGCAGGATATATATAATATAATCGAGAAATACATTTATTTATAAGTTTGAAAAATGAAGTTGCAGGTTGTTTACAATAAAACAGCACCGGTAGCAACCAGGAGTTCGTAGTTTTAATCACTTTATATATATATATTAACGGAAACGATTCGTATAGTTATGACTGAATGATTACAGTAAAGGATAAAGTTTGAGAGTAAATAGGTACGTCATAAACGCCGGTCTATCATGAATTGAACAGCGCAGAATCCTCACTAACCACTTCTGGAAATTATATAAAACAGTATCTTATGCTTATGTTTACTCTCGTTTGATCTATGTTCTACCCTATTGAATAGAAAATGTTTCTTACATGACTTCCTATATATGGCAATGAACCTGAAGACTACCGTCAGTGGTTTTAAAAAAGTATTATACGTAACGTCGATTTTTTGTACTGCGCTATAAATGGTTCCCACTGCAACGATATTCAAAAAATCCATACCCCTGTTCACGAAGGGTGTGATGATGGTATCAAGTACTCGAGGGATGTCAAAAGGTACCTGCCCATCTCCGTGGCTTACTCCAAGAGAGCCCCCAATATCGACGTACTCAATTCGTGATTTAGACTCGGCTCGCTGTTCAAGTTGCCCCAGCAATCGAAGGATGACATCGCGAGCCCGGTAAAGAACCTTACGTATCGTGACAGATTATATATTTGTCACTATGTAATAGAATTGCAGATAGAATATGCAACATAAAATATAGAGCTAAAGTTTTATTTTGGTTTAAATAATTATGGTGTGTAATTAGAAAACGTATAACCCCATTACTTCGTACCTGTTCATTAAGTACACGCGAGCCTATGTGGTAGTGCAGGCCTTGAATGGAATACTTATCTGCTAGGTGTAATACCTAAACATACAAACAGTATAACAAAAAAAATTTAATTGAGGCGGTTTCCCTTATGTTTTCCTTATGCTTGGAATATATCTATATATAATATCTTGTTGACCTTTCCGTTTAATACTTTGCACACGGTGCTGGCGCTTATGTAGAAAAATAATTGAACCATCGCTTCTCCCAGTTCACCGAACTTCTTGTCTTTATCATTTTTGTAATAACTGAAAGGCACTTTGTGGTGTAGCTTGACAAAGACCTGTAGCCGCCTGCCGTATACCTCTACATTTAACAACAGGACTTCAATGAAGTAGTCATAAAAAGGTAAACAGAATGCTGCAGTGACTAACTTCCTGCGGAGAAACTCCAAACTTGCTACAACTTGACGTCGTCATCAGATGGTGATAACCAGTTTCATCAATAACATCTGGGTTGACACGTAATGCTACACGGGTCCGCGAGCTGGAAAAGGATTCTCGCAAGGAACTAATGCGAGCGAGTTCGGCTTCGCTTTCTGCATGTATCGAAAATACCTGTAATAAGAAAGCAAATTATTATTTTTGGTCAAGGCGTAAACAATAACGTTATTATTATCGATAAAGCGATATACAAAATCATGATTGTTCTTTAAGGGTTTTGGTTTTATGAAAATATACAATAGAGGCTAAAAAAAATCATGCAAATTCAGTGCATCATGTTCGGTGTCACTCACTAGCCGGTTTAACAGCCTTAGTCATTACAAAAGCTTATCTTTGATACTAACGTCATGGGCCAGGCATGCTTTCAGAAACTGGACAGATTTCACGGGCCCTGTTGCAACGCATTTTTTCAGAACCTAAAATGGAGATCGATGACACTTATGTATTAAACATTCCAAATTTTACGAGTAAATTTTATACGTTCGTAAGAGGTCGGTAAGCAAGAGAACAAAACATCAAATGACGCACACACACACTTTATACGTCTCAACTGAAATCCTTTGTAGCAGAAAATGATAATGATCGTAATAATTACTAAGTTGGGCAGATAACTGTCGTAAAGATAATTCCATAGTGAGGTTCCATGTATATTGTTTTTTGATATATCACTTGGCTGCCAGAACTTATATATTGGTTAAAAAGGCTCACGATAACTTCTTAGACAAATCAAAATTTATTCCTAATGTAATATAGAAATTAGGTGTGAAATATTGTACGGAACTTTAATTGATTCAAGTAATTTGCCTTTAAAAAATCTTTCAATTCGATTCGTTATCTAATCCGATATTTAAAGTACAATATTTACAGCGATTATGATGTGAACATACCTCATTCGTTTGAGTGGCAGTTACAACTCTGCGGAGCTCCTCTAACGACGCGACATCAAACGACGCGCCAATTTTATTCAATTTTGAAAGTAGTTCGAGGTTGTTATTGGCTTTCACGGTATAACACACTGTGACGCCAGGTCGCGTCAACGGAAATCGAGACAAGCTCTTCTCAAGCGTCTGGATAATCGTTTGGTAACAGGCAGTACAAGAATAGTTGTTTATTTTTTTAAATCAAGCGTTATAAGCATCTCTTCATGTGGTTATTTGCACATCCAGCAACACGAGATGCTATTGAGAAGCCCCGGATTACATCGAGTTCGAGAAGTGATTAGGATGTTAATGTGTCGGCAAAAACAAGGTTCCTGTTCAATGAGTTACCTACGAGAGGTACGTGTAAATCTACTTCTTTCCCAACTTTTATACTTGTGATGACGTCTTAGTATTATTACTATACTGTAGATAACACGCGTTCATGTTATTTTCTTACCTCTTCAGAGTACACGTATAGTGGAGTGTCGAACTGTTCAGCCAGCGCTGCCACACTTCGACCTGCAAAGTGCAGTTTGCCTTTCTGGTATGACGTTCCTTCTGGTAGATTCGACATCTGTGAATAGGTACCTACGCTTTAACACATATAACTCTACGCTACTCACATATAACACATATAACGACTACTAATAACAATAGTCTGGGGACAATTGTAATTCTAACGTACGCTTAACAAACCATTCATGATAATTTACAATTTTATTTTTGTTTGGATGCAGACTAATCGTTGAGGTAGCGTTAGTAAGACATTATTTCAGGGCCAGATAAATTTATCATATAATCAGATTATATTGTATTGTCATAGTATTTGTCAGTTACCGACTGACTAGCCGGTCGATCATTTTACGAAAAACGATTTAGTCTGCTTGGAAGGAACTTTCTGATGAATAGCATACGTAACAAGAACTCTCGGATCGAAATTGGATTAATTCCTGATGACATAGTACTTGCCCTAAAATCATAATTAAGTATTAAGCTAAACACGATAGCTGTAAAGGTAAGCCGTGTGCAGCACGAAACGGAAGTCTTTATTGCAGTAGAGTATTGTTGTGCTTCTTAGTAGCACATATCACAACGGTTATGGAATTAGCATATCGGCCTTTTTAATACATATAAATACGAAATGGCGAAAATTCGTTGCTTTAAAAATTTACTGCTTAGCCCTAACGTAGATTTGATCCATTCTTTATTTAGGAAAAAGTATACTTTAACCTACAGCAACTAAATAATCATTCATCTACCCGAAATAAGCCTTGTTCATGGGTGGAGCGTCTTCAGCTTAACATATGAACCCCCCGAAAGGCATGCAGTGATTCAGTAATACGTATAAAAAATTCAACGACACTAATGAATCACAACAACATAAGAAAAAACTTGAACAATGTTCGTTCGAACCGCGGATTAAAGAAGTTTCTCAAGTCTCTCCGGTACTAATTTCGTTGACCCTTTTTGGAATAATGGAACGCTCGTTAGAAGAACTTCGAGTGCGTATTTTTTGACACGTTTCTGTTCGTGTGCCCCAATTAAATGAATTACTTTTTGTTAACCAAAAAAAAAAAAAAATTAACACATAAAAATTAACTGAACTAGATTAATACATATCTTTAGCTTGAGTTTACATCTAGCCTATAATAGTTTCAACATTAAATCCGCCCGTTGCGTATATTGTATCACCGGAGAAGCTCTCCAATCTCCTATATGAGCCTCTTTATGTCGATATGTTTGAGACCCTTTTCACCTGTGTCTTTCCTGTTGTTCATATGAGTGTGCCAGCATATCTGAAAGCCGGCCTATATTTTGCATCGGGGTTAATGTAGCCACGGGTCAAGTCGTAACTGTCAGTCTCCTTTTGTTTAGAAATGATATCCCTGCTCATAGTTTCGGACTAGAAGAGCTATAGTAGTTCTCATCCTATTCCGTCTTTCCCTGTTCTGCTAATACGCACATCGTAAGGCAAAGTGACCTACTAACCATAAGCATTTGACAATCTTGACTATATTCTTGTTGAACTTGCTGGTCATTAACCGATTACAATTCTCGAGTCGAACATAATAACGAGAAATCCGACTGTACAATGCAGTTATACTTGCAAATATCTCTAATACCAAGCACGATAATATTTTCACTATAAAAAAAACTTTCGATTCCCTTTATTATTAGCGAATAACAAGATTGAGTCTGCTAACCAGCAGATCTTCAGTATATTATTATACTTCTACATGTATTGCACTACATAAATTATCAATGCTTTAGGAACTTCAAATACCTATATTGCATGTATAGAAGTTTTACTTATATTCAACTAAAAACTGATGCCTGGCTTACCGTTTTACAGTGGATGGATCAAATATGGACGTATATTGAAATCAACTCGAATCTACAAAACCAATTCGATGCGCTGCATGTAGAAATACATATGCACGCACACACACATATACACATCCAAACAATTACAGCTTTAACTATACAGCATTAACAATAACCGATGGCGCTTCACTTTCAACCACTGCTATCGACTGAGAGAAAACTGGCTTGTTTAACATTACTCAATTGCTTTCCCGTTTTCAGCTGACGGCAGACTTGCTCTATTTGGTTTGTACTTTATTTATTTTATTCATTTATTAATCCTTTCTGAGGGTGCCTGCCAAGGACCATACTTAAGGTATCTAAGTACAAGCCATTGCCTATCTTCCTCACTGCCGACTGATTTGCGGCTCTCACCGAACCATCAGCTCTTCAAGCAGCGACGAACTTTGACGGCTTTACAGCAGTTCCACAGACGTTTTTCTCTCTGTCCCGGAGAGACGTGATGGCGCCGCAGGCACCTAACAATAGAACCACTAGCGCCCTCTTTTGATACACCCATTAACTGCGGTTGCCGAAGCAGTAACGAGTCGGTAATACCACCAGCAATATTTTCACGCTACTGGTCCAGAACAGTTACAACTCGAGACTAATGGCTGCGCACTCTTGCTTCTATAATTAATGATTTCAGTACTTCAAAGAGAAGCCGTTATAGTGTAGCTTATCATCTACGTGCGACACATAGGCACCCTGTTATTTTTATCGCTGCGAATGCGCTACTAGCTATTGCACAAAGGGAAGTAGTCATTTGGCTGCACCAAATTTGAGACGTTAAACTCAGGAAAATTATAAAAATGATTAGTGAGAAAATCTTATCTTTCTCCTTGTATTTCCTGCATGTAACACGTGTTAATGGCAGCACTCGAACCAGTTAACCCCTAATTCTCTCAGACAAAAGTTGAGCAACCCAAGACACACAAAAATTATGGTACTACTGAGGCTGTCACCCGTGACAGTAACCGTACGATACAAACTTTTAATTTGTTTACGAAATTCAAATTTTGGCAGTACTTAAATTGTCAAAACTTAAATGATAACATAGTGACTTAAAGGTCAATTTTCACTTGAAATGAATGATTCAATTGAAAATATGTCTTTGTCAGGTTCTTTTTGTTAGCCTCGGTCGATTGGACCCTAAGGGAAGTTGATACGCAACATGATGATCATGATGTCTGTAGGAAATGTGCGAACTTATTGTTCCATTCGTTGCAATCGAAATCACATGAAAGTAGTCGCAACAATAACTAGATAAGGTGTCTGTCCATAAAGCTTATTGCACGCAGATAACCGTAGAGGTAAAAGCTTTAAAGCTACCGTTTTGTGGTATCTACCTTAACTAACGAACAAATATGGCAATGACTCGCCTGGTCTACTATGTAAATATTTACATCGAAACGACTAGTCTGCATCCTGTAGCAAGCAGCCCGACCGAGAAGCACGACTTATAGGCCAAACATATTCAAAGAAAGGACGTTACTCACAACAGTACTAAGTTTACGCTTAACTTCTGCAAATGTCAGCTGGTAGCAATAACCTATTTATGGAACTCACAAGGAGTTTGCTATGAAAAAATGCCTTCACCCACGACTCCGTAGATAAATTTACTCCAAGATCGATGCTGGACCCAGAAGCAGCACCAAATTGCAAACTAGGTGCCGTTTGCGTTGACCTATCTTAAAATATTTATCTTCCATGTCGCTAAGTTGAGTTACCGGGTCATCACATCCAGAGACCGAGCAAACAGTAAATTAATAGAGCTAAATGTGGAAGTGACTATTTTACTAATTTCCATGTATCGATCGAATGAAGGACACAAAGCAAACAAAGCTAAACCTTAGCTAAACATTAAAAAGCACTTTGCTTCAGATGTACATTTTCCTCTTCAACACATTATAGCGAAGCCTGCAAGCACCTAAAAATTAAAATAAATTCATCATAACCTATCTACACAATTTTTTGTTAAATACATATAAAATTAGTAAATAAAAGACACAATCAAATCCGAATAACACACAAACTTCGAGTCAGTTTCACACTAGTCGCATTTATTTTGATTATACAAAAATAAATCATCTTCTGCCTACATACAGATATATCGCACAGTGTGTCCGACTTATCGAGCTACCGTAATAGTGCAAATGGTAGAATGTTTCTACGTATTTGCCCTGAAATGGTCCATTTATCAGAACCCGGGTAGCTACCATAAGTTACACTATCTGTGGCGTACTGATAATCAAAAGGCAGTGATCATTCGTATACTACTTTGATACCTTACAGCATGGTACTTTCAGTTTGATATCACTCTTCTAAATTAATCGAGTAGCATCAGCACAAAATTAGTGCAATTTATTCAGCATAACTTCTACTTGTTATTATCCTAGCCGAAACTTTCTTCCTATATTCATATAACAATTACATTCTAACAAGAATTAGGTCGTACTTCTCTGTATCACAAGTACACATTTATCGCCAGTAGCATCAATAACAGACTGCAGACAAATGAAGTCATACTTTACTTCTGTATATATTTTTATTCATGGAACTCAGGTTTTAAATAGGGGCAACCGTTTGTCAAGAAAAATAAGTTTTAAGACTCACGATGTCTTCCTGTATGGTATATCGGTCGATAAGTGCAAATATTGCAGTTATGCTCAGAACCTTCATTAATGCCCAATTTCTTAGATTTTAGTGAAAGACATGTTTAATCTAACAAGTTTCATTCGTGATACCACTAATGTGGTTACGGCATAGAGCAGTATTTACATGTTTATTGGGGCTGCGTCTAATGCATAATGGTTCAATTCATTTAGAGTAGTCGTTAGAGCCCGATAAACGTGAAACATACAATACTTATGGTTGGTTGTTGTATACAAATTAGAATTAGACGTACGATTCTCGTCAGGAACAGCTCCTAAAGCTAAATAAAGATGAACTGCATTAATTTTCCTTTTGACTAATTATTTGATGGTTATACTAACGATAGTGACATCGTCATAGGGCTTGTCAGTTTTGGGGTGCGTTTTCACAAGTGAGATATTCTGTGCAACCTCCATCCCGCGTGTGACTCTACCAAACACCGTATGCTTGTTATCCAGCCAAGGACAAGGTATAACCGTGATGAAGAATTGTGATCCGTTCGTGTTTGGACCAGCATTAGCCATTGATAGTGTATATGGCTTGTCGTGCTTGAGGTTTGGGTGGAACTCGTCCTCAAACTCGCCACCCCAAATTGATTCGCCGCCAGTTCCGACGCCCGTAGGGTCCCCCGTTTGCACCATAAAGCCTTTGATTACTCGATGGAATATATGGCCATTATAGTAGCCGTTACGTGAGTGCACAACAAAGTTCTCAACAGTTCGCGGACATTCCCGGGGGAACAGAATTACGTGGATATCACCCATTGAAGTATGAATAACGGCATTCGAAGCCAGATTACTACGTGAAGACATTTCCGTAGCAGCAACGATGTCCTCCTTTGAGGGTTTTTCGTTGAAAACCTAAATAACGAAACAGTGTTGTGAGTATCATCATGCCCTATTGAAAGCATAACGAACCATTAAAATTACAAGGAAATAAAATCATTTTCGTAGTTGATAAGCCTAATGAATAATAAGATGTTTGCAGTCCATGTAGATTAATACTCTCAACACCTTCACAAGGTCTCACCTCTCGTTCTTCGTCCTCGCCAGGTATCCGTTTCGTATAGAGATAGAAGCGGTTCTTTTTGTAGGCACTGCAAACGAGCGTTGGATCAGAGTCAACTTCTTGCAGTGCTGGGTTTTCGGCTGCGGCAGACTCAACAGTTACCATTTTCTGCTGTTTGCCTGGCACACCCTGCGAAGATAATAGAGAAAATCAAGTAAGGCTAAAAATAGCTTGCCAGACATTCAAAATCTACTGGTGTATATATATAAAACAAATTAGTAGTAATACGAAGTGAATAACAGAAATTTGCAGCAAAAGCGCCTTAAGGGGCCAATTTAATTATGCATAGTTGAGCATTTCACTGACCTGCTGCTGCCAGCTGTGTACTTCTAAGCTTCCTTTGCTTTTATGCACTGTATTCACGAATATATTTTATACATTAAATCTTGGTTAGCAAATAAATATTTATTACGATAGCTAAATACTTCTGGTTGACACCAATGTCTGTCTAAAACACGATTGAGTCAGGTGCAATGCTGAAAAGAACATACCTTGAAAAACGCATGCAACGGGTAAACTGATTATACCTGATAAAGTGCAATGGCAAGTGGTCTTAAAGCCTCACCCTTGCCGAGAATGCGTACACATCGATTCGTAATGAGGTTCACAACCTGCGACAGATATTGACAAAACATATATATATTTAAAATTGTTTACTGGCAATGCTTTCATTTCTATGTACAAAAATATCCTCGTCTAATAGTCAGTTCGATTCCGCTTTATAGATTTCCCTACTTGACAAAATTATTTGACCATCTGATAACAAACCTTGATACCGAGGAGCGTTGGGTAGAGAAGAAAGTTTCCACTATCATCAAAAACCAGATTTGAATAGCGCAGCATGCCCGCTTTTTCTAATTCGCGCTCCACAGCTACTCTTCGACCAAACTCCATATTACTGAGAAGAGCTCGCTCCTGTTGCGTATCCGAAGCGGTTTTAAGGGTTTCATCTAAAGTTTTAACAAGCCTGCCGCTTGCAAAATTGAACACTCGGACCTGTAAATAAACATATAAGCATTTACCTGTGCAACGATAATGACAGTAATGTTTTTGTCCTTCGCATCTTAGTATTTGATATATTCTAAATGCTAAAGCATTAACCTCTATCCTTGATAGTATAGGGGTATCTTATTTTCCAATTAATCTCAAGGACGCGCCAGGTTGTTTAGATGTGAATTAAAGCGTAATAAAAAAAAAGTGACAAGTAACGTCTCCGCTTGCTTGATTCCTACAGATTGATCGTATTAGACATCTTAAATAAACGTTTCGAGTTTTACGTGAAGCGCTGATATTAAGCACTGCTTCAGACGGCTGGCTCCCAGCATGACGTATGTCTGCACACGGTTTCGTATTCAGACATCTACCGAGCAGTTGTATCAAGCTTCATGTTCTGACAGTACCCAAGCAACGCGTATCAGAAAAGGGGCAGCTGAGAGTCAGTTATGGAGAAGTTTTACAGCATTAAGAAATTTCTGTTGCTCAACGCTTGAAAACGATTTCATAAAATTTCATCAGTATCATCATTTGATTTGGCAGAAAAAGATGTAATAGGTTCCACAATAAACAGGTACAGTAGGCTTACAAGAGGTGATTATGATCTTAATAATTTGTCATAGAGCAGAATGATGGATAGGCTACGAGCATGCACCGAATGGACTACAAGATGGCGTATTAGCTGGTCTCACCTTTCGATCGCTGGCGGTGACTGCGAACTGGCGTCCATCAGGAGCAAAGGCTATATTTGTTGCTACAGTATTACTGTTTACCAGCTCGAATAGATCGGTATCGAGTTTCGAGTCGAAATTTGCCTGCCACCGGTATTTATAAATCAACGCATATCAGTGGAAAATTCGTAGAAGGTAGTTAAGTGTCCTATATTACAATAAACTATGATACTAAATGTCTATAGGCTCTTCGGGTATACCCGCTGTCTTTCTTACCTGATCTGGTATGAGACGATCCGTTACCCCGCCTCGCCAATATTCTAGAATTCCGTTCTCATCCGACGAAACAGCGACATTTAACATCGGACAGTACCTGAACGAAGTTAAGAAATCAAATAAAGCAAACGTAACCCATCAGGCAACGATAAGCTAACGCGGTTCGTGATGACCCAAAGTTTTGAATCTCTAAGAAGAAATGTAGATCGAAGATTTTGAATACGAGCAGTCGTGTGTTTAGTTTATGCACTTAAATTTAGAATCTCCGGAGTTTGGAGCCAACGTCCCTTTGCTTAAAAATTCAATCCTATGCTTACTCTATTTTACTAGCGGGTGTGAAAAGATATCCACATGTTTTATACTATATACACACAACGTGTGTGAATAAAGAAAATTCCTTATTTATCATATACATGATCAAACCTGCTCGCTGAAAATCTGTTGAAAGCTGTAGCGGTTATTGCGTTAATTAAAGCTTCTCCATTATGTGGACATGTTTCACACGTTTTGCACGCCCGCAAAAAAAAGCTTTTTTGTATACGGCCATGTTTATTAATCTGGCCAGTCATACAAGTTTCGTTAACGACACATAACTACTACACAATCTTTGTAAGCAAAGAATGCTACATTTATTGTATTGATCTTCCCCTCAATACCACTTTGAACTGGCCGCTTACCTAAGACAGACAATGGGAGCTTGATGCAGGTTTTTGTGCACCTTCAGCGGTCCACCACTTGCGAGTCCGTCATATAGTAGAATACGATTAGAATTTTGATCTGTTACCGCCACGACGCGAATCGCATCACCTGTATAATAACAAATAACGATCAAGGCCTTGATAAATAGAATGTGAGGAAAACGTTTTATTCACTTTTATGTAACAAAAAGAATAGTGACTAAAAGATTTTATGAATAGTAATATAATCGAAGATTGTATCGATCTTATTCCAACTTTCTCTTGATTCTGTTGTAGATTTCTTACACATGTGAGTCACTATTAACCGCTCATTGATTCAATATTTCTGTACCTTTTGTATGGACCCACTCGCAATGTCCAGGTGTGTAGTCGAACTGTAGCATGTTCATTAAATCAAAGCTGACCACTTCGAACACTTTAAGCGATTTGTCATCTGATATCGTACACAGCAACGAGCCGTCCCAATTGCTTGCTACACCTTCAATTTTACCTGTTTCAAAAACAAACACGAACAGTTGAATATAGGTTAACGTTTTTTTGTATAAGCAATCGCACAAAGGAACACGGAAGTGCTTATAATACACGTAGGTAGCACGCATAGCATTCTCTACTTAAGCTACAAAGCATCCTATAACTTAAAGTGTATAATTAATCTGGCCCGAAAATAAAAGGAGATAATAGTAGCCTGCATTTCGGGAAAGCTGTGGAAACCGGAAATTTTTTTGAAAAAAATAAAAGGCAACCATTAAGTATTGATTGTCATTCAGATATTTTTCCCTCTTACCGAGATGTGCCCGGAAGTGCTTGACAAACTCGATTCCGCCAGCTTCTTTCTTCCAAAATTTTACGTGGCCGTCAGCAGACGCCGTTACAATAAATTCACTTCGTGTCACCACAACATGTGTGACCGTATCACGATGCATATATGATTTTTCAAATAATTCGGAGCTAGGTAATTTATCTACAAATACCTGTAAATAATATTTAACAACAATGATATAAACGGTATGGACAAGTATTAACACGTACAATGATCTGCTCGATATGTTTTAAATTGCATTGTGATATTATTTATATTTATAAACTACGCAAAGGAATTTCAGCTACTTTCAGGAATCTTTTTATACCAGAGTCAATTTCTAAATACTTTTTTACTTACAGCTCGTTAATTTGAGAACTGTCCTTGATATTGCCAGTCATTTTTATTATGATTTAATAAAGATGTCTATTGATTTAACTATTGATTGTTGTGATCTTTTTATTATACATATAATCGGCAAACAAACCTTTTCTAAATGTAAAATCTTTTTCTTTTTTTTTGGAACCGGCTCTCTTTCTTTATCGACAGCTTCTGACGAAAGGGGCCCGATAACCCCCCCATCGTCGTCGTTGTCTTTGTCCGCCTCCTTGATTCGTTCTTTTTCACTGGTCGATTCTGCAGTCCGCTTTTGCGTCTGTAAATTGTTCTTGTCCAATTGTGAAGATGCTTCTTCGTCTGGTGACATTTTTTACTCAGGCTCACGCTAACATGCGAACATCTAGGAAAAAGAACTAATGAATATCGATGAAATTTATTTTTAGTCAAGCACTAAAACAACGCTAAGGGTTTTTAAATGTTCCAACCTTGATGAAGGTTTCTAAATTCCCAACCTTAATGAAAATCACTCCTCGAAAACTTAATTCCCGTTACTGCGCGCAACATTCTCGCTTACGCTTTTTTCAGAAACAACAGCTCCGGTCAGTTTGCATTTCACAAACGCAAATATTCGCTTCAGTAAGAATAGAACAGACAGCTCAATGTTGCCCTAATTTGGACAGGAAATTTGACTAATAATTATAATAATTTTTTATTTCGGGCGATAATAATTTTCCAATTTATAATGACTTTTTTTGTTCAATACGGCGTTACATATACGCAAACCGTTTACAGTCAGTAGTCCATGGAACTTAAAAACCTGTTACGTAGTTATCTCAGCTTCTATCTTTTCTATAGCAAAGTAGTTCAACAAACGAGCACAGTTCATATAGTAATCTTTAATAAGTTGCCGCTTGCTAACCACAAGATCTATGGTGTACCTAACAGCCGGTATCATTAAAGAGTAAAGTTGAAAACTAAATTCTCACAGTACTCGTTATAAGTGGCTGCGATTTCAACGCGACGTACCTTTTCAATTACTTACCTATTTTGAGCGGAAGTTTTAACTGAAATCGGTTATCAAGGAGATGATTTTATAATACTCTCTTTAGTTATAATACTACAAATATAATTGCAGGTTTCATTCGAATGTATACTTTACAACGCACCTTTTCAATCTATCCCATCTTCACCATTAGTTTGTTGACAAACAAACAAGACTTTTACGACTACCTTACTGCAACACGGGTTAGCCTTTAAGCGGGCGATCCATATCTGCGAAATTTATGATGAAATGGGCTAGATGGAGAGTTTTGCAGAAATATGGCTTAATATCAATATGTAGTTTGCCTCATTAGCGAAGATGATATCTGAGATATTTTCGGGAAAGATTTGCTGAAACAGAGTCAAATCAAGAGCTTCGAGTACATTTTACTATAACGATTACATAGTAAGCAATTTATAGAGGCACAGTTACTATGCATACTTTATTTCACATATACTCAATTTTGCATTTTCTTGATAACCGAAGCGTTTTTTTGCAGATTTAGGGTCATTGTTACAATATAGATGATGTATGTTAGAAGAAACAGTCCGAGTATATTGAGTAGGTAATTCTGAAGCAGGTAGATATTGACAGTAGTGTAATTATTTTTAGCACATCTAAATTAAGTAAACATGTTCGAATTGTATCCACGCTCAGTGAATATGGGGGCTTCACTATGTGGTTACGAGCTTCATTGCACATCGACCCAGTTTTAGCGGCAAGCAGCAACCAAGCCCAAATTCATTCCTTTCTTACAGATTTTTTTGCCTGACGTGCGGGAGATTACCTAAACCTATTCTTAAACTTTTTCAAACATGTTATAGTAAAACAAGTTTAAATAATTTTAGTGTCAACGGGAATTCTACTACAATCCAGCTGTTCTAACAGACCGCCCCGTTATCCCTTCGATGTGTCGCACTTACCTTATTGTGAATTTCCCGTTGCGGTTTTCCCGTTAACGTTAACCCACTGCATTACTTTGGTCATTTTATCAGCTTGCAGCAACTATTCCTTTAGAGTAGTTCGGCAATTCGATAGTACACTTTCAGTAATTGTATTACTCTACTACGGTGGTTCTTTCGGCTTGGGGCGTTCTTGAGTAATCAAGGAATAATCGATTTTACCAACAACCGATGGAGAGACCCATGAAATATAGTAGTTCACACCGAAGCTGAAATTCCGCAGTCTAAGCGTGCTTTTGGTGGGTTTCGACGGAATATTGAAGTGGCCATGTTATGTTATGGAACCCATCCTAGATCACCCGCGGGGTAAAACCCCGTAGTTCAGATCAGAAATGATTCGATATACTGGAAGTAGAGAGTGGGAGTTCGGCTCGGGTTTGAAAAAACTCCGAATACCCTCAATCAAATAATAGTAATATTTGATAAGCTCCATTCATCTTGTCACCACGTAACAGTGGTCTTATTGTCCTGTATCAATTACTCGATGTTCCAATGGCAATAATCAGCTACTCTGCTACTGTTATTCCCTTACCCTATTGGGATTATCCTGTTGCCCGGCCACGGTTTTTTGTTACCTCAACGTGGAAGGTTTTATTACCTTTAAAGCTTGTTGACAGGTCTTCCGTTATTTCTAAATTACTAAACAGACAGACGTGAGTCGAACGTAAATGGTCTCAAAATAAGAGCTGTGTAGATTTGTGAAAGCTATTTATCAGATTCAATATCAGATTTCTATTGCAAAAAAACAATTGTGTAATATTTGATTTTCGTATTGCACCTAAATCTGGTTGGCGAAGTATTGTTTTTTTTTTATATTTTACTTCTTTCGATTTCTATTAAAATGATTCATAAAAAAAGGAATTCGTTTATTAAAATAACCTCGTGTGTCTATTTGAAAGCAATCCACTGATAGCTGAAGTGGAGAAATGATTATATAATGTAAATAACTTTTACCCATAAACCTTTCGGTAATCGATACTGCCATCTTAATCACTACATTTGTCGGTGTATGGCAGTCTTTTTGCCGTATCTAAGGCGCTTTGCAGAACACTGAAGAGACAGCCTATAAACACACATAAATGGTGTTTTTTTTCGACGGCTGCGTTGTCTTTGTTTGCTTCTATTATTTAAGCCTTTACGATTTCGATTCTAGCGACTAGCTCTTTCTGCATGTATCAGTGTCATACTAAGTACGATTCTGGCTATTCTGCCGACGAATTTCTATTCTATTCTGCTCTGCCAAAACCTTGTTTTGGGCCTTCTTAAAATGGGGCGATTTGGACTATCCTTGAATTGTTTTTGGGCAAGTCCTTTAATGGTGCTCAGAAGTTTCGCTCCTCTCAAAGACTCCATACGTTGCTTTAGATATGAGGGGCATCGATTACTGGAAATTTTGTACTTGGACATTTCATTCACACACCAGAAAGTTATAATGTATATTACTGTGATTGAGTGAGCGGGAACGCTCGATGAGAAAATTCCCGCTAAGAGCCTATTGGTCGCGGACCAATGGGGCAAATTTCCAAGGTACAGTATTGCAGGTAACGAATGAAGCGTAGCCTTTACTCTGATCAAATAAACTGCAACATGCAGTGCTAATATTCATAACCTGAACAACTCGGAAAAAATTGTTTGAGTTTCAATAAATTGAGTTTCAAAAAAGACTTTAATCAAGGCTTCGAATTCGGGTATCTGATCGTTGTACTTTCTGGGTGGTACTTATACATCGAAAGGAAAATCGTCGTATGTTAACAGGCATGTGATTCAGCGTGTACCATAAGATCAGTAGGACGTTAAGCGAGTGCAAAAAATGGAGTACTTAATTAAGCGGTGCTGCTTATTCAGGCTTTTTGAATACGGCCGCGAGATCACTGGTTACATGTTCGTGATAGCCAAAAATACGTGCTACAATTTTTTTAGCAATTAATAACAGTCATCGATACGATCCTACGATATCGAGACGTTTTTCCCATTTTTGTAGCCATGAACCAATTTGTATTACACACTGAAGTGGTATCTGTAAAGTTTTGCGCAGCTTAGCAGTACGGCAGATGAAGTATGTGAGGCCTAAATCTACCTTCATGCACAGCAAATTACGTGGACGTATGAGGCTCATTTCTGCGACGACAATTTATTTACTCTGAGTTTCGGATTTAATTCAAACCGAAAAAAAAAACCTTAAATTAGTTTTATTATTAGATTCAAGTTAATAACGAACCTGTCATTTATGAAAACGTCTGAACTTCATAACAAATACATCTAAATTATTGTTATCACTCTCAAGGAAGGGATGAATCGCGTATGCTAAGATAAATCGGTAGCTTATCTGTCTCAGTTTTGCTCTCTGCTAGCAGAAATATGGCAATGCGCAACCGTTTAGTTCGATATAGAAACGAAAGTAGATGAGAAAGCTCTTTAATTCTGACACAGAATTCAGAAGATTTCTATAGAAGTCTACAGAATTTAGATTTTTGCATCAGCTCCGGTTTCTTCAGGTACGACAGTTACGCACACACCATTGTGCCTTTAGGTCGAAACTGGTCTGCATGTAACAGTCATCGATACAATTAGCTGTCTTTGCGATCATCGAGCGTATCGACAACTCAATAGAAGAAAAAACATGACTTCATGATTATTACAGTTTATAAACAGTAAATTATCGTCACTCAAGTGTTTTCGTCGTTATAAAAGCAAGATGGCCACTTCAATTTTACCCACAGTAACGCTGCATCTCGACTGTTTATCATTTACCGAGAATCTCCGTATGGGCATAGACTTCAATTTTTGAAGATCACCATGCGCTTCGGAAAGGCTCCTGCTAAAGCAGTACACGGTTTTTTACGCATGTGACAACACTCGTGAAGGTAATATAACCTATATAAAGGTTCAACACGGTCCAGCTACATCCTAATGGACTGATCCAATGGCAAAAAGATTTCGGGAGCCGAATCAGTGGTAAAGAAGATGGTGGTATGGTCACAATTGGCCAGCTATCTTTTTTTTCGGAGCAAGCGAATTAGAGGGAAGAGTACTATAGCAATTATTACCGCTTTTTCCTACGAATGCACATCAAAGATTGTTTAAAAACTAAAGAGGACTACAGATCCTTGACTGAGAGTCCTCTAAAGGAAGGTTTGCTTGTCATAGCGATAGTTAAAAGCATTTTAAATGCAGATGTAAACACATCACCGCTTCTTTTCGAGCGAGTAACAAAAAGTTGTGTGGGTCTTTAATGAATCTAGCTAAGTTTTTCTAAGTATTACTGCAATAAACATTATAATGACGGTCAGCGATGAATTTTATCGTCTTCATCGCATGAGAAACAGGTGTTTAGGAAATGTCGGTAGGTTCTGTGCTACCCAGTGTATTAAACGGATATATATAAAAATATAACTGTGATTCTCTGAAGGTATTTTGTTAAGATACAATCTGTTCCCAGATGCATTATTTAATATTTATAGCTGCGTGCATAATTTATATGGACAGTTGGTATAGGAATTATACCATTTATACATTTTTTTCTTTATATTGAAATTTCGTACACGAAGCGATGTAAACGGGCGCCGAAAACTCCACCTTTTACCTCAAAACTTGGCCCTCTTTCCACGGATAAACTAGAAATTTAGCAAATTCGTTACTTATTAATTAATTATCCACTACCTACACATACATCCTTATAGATGGCTACAGGCTATGCTTTTGCTGTCGCTGTTCGATTTTATTGGTATTACTTGAGCAGAGCTCAAGATGACGGGCCTGTACGACCGTTGCCTATCAGCTTGGTAGCTCAAGGTCAAAAGGCCGCATCAACAATCTTTCGCTGTGTTTCATTACTTTCCCCTAGCAGCTAATTGAGCTATTTCAAAATGAGAGTAAGCCCTAGGACGACGCTTTCTTTGTACAACCACAATAAGAAGTACTTGAACAAAAAAGAAGTATTATTATTATTAGAATTGAAATACAGAATCACTCTTTCTTGGTATTGTCATTTTAGATCTTTCTTTTTCCCTTTATGCTATATGCTGTATCTTTTGGAGCATGATCGCCACCACAGCAGTAGCAGGCTTACTGAAATTCTGGTTTGAGCAAAGCTGAAAACGATACTGGCAAAGACGATAGTAGTTAATGGAGCGTTGATAGCATTCCATCCTGTAGAATGACCGGACGAGAGAAAAAGATGAAAAAAGCATAAAAACGAAGTGACTGGGAGGCTTTTTTGCGAAAGACGTTACCTGCGACAGAAGTACGAGGCCAACAACGGCAGTTCCAAGGCCGTGGCCTCGATCGCACGCAGCTAGACAGCTAGCTCGCTGTTTAGTTAAGCGGTGGTGTTACGTCCAGCCGTATGACCATGTTCGTCCTTCTTCTATTTGGGTCTATAACTTTGCGGCTGTTTCTCTTATGACGCTTATGAGTCGTTCACACGGGCGTTTGTCGCAGCGGCGATTGATCGACTTTGTGAGCGTACTGGGGGTGAGTCAAACAATTCTAAGATTGCCTTCCGTCTCCTGTGAGTGAAGCAGTTATAAAGGCCGCGCTGGTCGTTGTAGCTGCAGGGGTGATATTGATAGGGTGAAGGAGGCGATTTGCGCTAGGCCCGACCGGGTCAGTGAGTGACGTAGGTCGGAGCTTCTAAATTTCTGTCTGCCCAACTCGTTGCTTCTATGGACGATGGCAAGACGGAGCGTGCAAAAAATAAAGAAAGGGAAAAGGGTGACCCTTTTCCGGCTTTCCCCTTTCGTAGTACATTCGCTCTGGGGTATTTCAGGGTGGACTGTTGTAGCGGCGCCAGCCACTCTGTTGAAAGTGAATTTGCTGTGAGCCTTGTTAGGTTATCGATGGCTAACTCGAAATGTAAGGCAGTCTACCGCAGCTGCATTCGCAGGACCATGCTAGCATCGATAATGCTGCTGCTTTTTCTAGGGGGAAGCTGGGTGGAAGAAGAAAAGGCAGAATCGAGACTTTATGCGAGCCGAGACAGAGGGTTGTCTGATCTGCGACGCATATCGTATAGGTTTACGTTGCACGACAACCTGATGTTGTCCTGGCAATGGAATCTACATTCAGCGGGCAGTTTTGGCTGCTATCAGCGGAATAAAGGAAAGGGTTAGGTGCTGAGCACTACTACTTGATGGGGAAATAGAATTGAATGTTCTAGGGTAAGGTGCCTATGGCGGCGAATGGCATTACACGAGGACCAACACAGAGAGAGCAGTGGAGACAAACAAGCACACTCACATACACCCGTACGTGCATTCTCACACAGGAGCAGGTATGCACGCACACGCATGCCCGCGCATACAAGATACAGCCAAAGGGACAGGCAAGAACAGACAAAACCGGCCCGTGGGAAGGGACAAGAGTAGGCCACTGTTATTGAAGGCACCAGCGGGAGCAGTAGCAGCAGAAAGACTAGCAGCGCGGAAAACTGACATAGCAAACACGCAGCTGCGAACGTTCGAACGAACTATGGAGGGAGAGGCCCCGCGAAGCCGGCGCTGCTGGAACCCCAAGGCCGCTACCGCTACTACGCGGTGAGATCAGCGAGGGATTCTCTGATCGGTAGGCTGCTTCTGTGCCACTGAGCTTAGTGCTACTAATGTTAAGGTAAGGGATAGCAAAAGCAGCTGGGTAAGCTCGATACAACGCGAAGATAACCCACATAAGGCAAACGGCAGTTGGAGTAAGGTGCAACCCAGACCAAACTAACGGATTGTAGCATGGAATAAATAAGCAAAGCAAAACACGAAGGGGAAAAAGATAAGTAGCAGTAGTACGAACATCAGGGCAAACAGCGTCATAATGCAGCATCAGTAAACGACGTTGATCGAACCGTTGAATTCTTCCAATCGATACGGTAAGGAGCCTACGCAAGGACCTCGTGGAAGCAGGAGTGAAGACAGCTAGGGAAGGGATAAATGGGAAAGGAAGAAATACAAAGAGTGAATGAGAGGTGGAGAAAGCGAGCGAGAGGAAACGAGGGCAAGAGGCGACTGCCCCTGGCTTTTCACAGGGCCGCCAGCACCGACAGCGCCGCCAATGCTGCTGCCAATACCAACAACGGCCGCTGCTAACTCCGCTACGGCGGTCAGTCAGCGAGAAACTAGCAGGCAGTAAGTATTGCCGACCTCGCCTAAACACCAGTCACAGCAGCTGCTGCATGCCGATCAGCAGAACGACAGCAACTGGCGCGACTTTCAGCAGCAGGACTGTCCCTACCGCTTCTGTCCGCTCTATTGGACTCTGCTGCCTCTCTGTCCAAAGGCACCCTGAGGTAACAGGAGGATCCAGCAAAAAGAAGCACCACCATCGCCGCCGCAGTGTCAGGAGGCTGAAGAGCAGCAGCGGCAGCAGCGGCAGCAACGACAGGGACACATAAAGCCGAGGTGGCAGCTGCAGTAGCGGTGCGCGAACCGGAGCATTCTCTCAGGCTGGTGAGAGCTTAAGCACCTGGAAAATCCGAGGCGCCATCCAGTGCCTATTGGTCCAGCAGCAACAGAGGTCTCAAATCTAAAACGCTGTTGATTTCGGCTGATCGACCTGCAACAGATCTGCGATAGAGCCGATCATTTCGCCGCACGGCCTACCGTAGGCATTCATGCACGCAGAACACCTGCATCCTGTGTCGTGATTAAAGAGTGTATTGCGGTAGAAAATTGCCTTTCGTTTGCAACGCAACCAATGGGCGCCAGTCATTTGTTGTTGCAGCTGTCACAACCTGCTGAATATCAACAATGTTAAACAAGTGACTTTGCTTAACGAAGCTTAGAAGGAAACTGTAAAGCCATACTTACTTTAGATCTGGCGCCGGCATCAGCGTTGAGTTAATCATTATCGGGATGCACAATACCGTCATCGCTACCGTGTCACAGTGAAACATGGCTAACAGCAACAACCGCAGAATACGCGCGTCAACAATAGAAATCACCGTGACGGGTTGACGACGGCGTGCTAAAAATGTCTGTGTGTCAGTTCGCTGTGTAGAGGGAGGTTTGAAGATTCGCTTAGGGACGGGAAGACAGCCGCGTTTTTTGCTGGCGTGTTCAGTGCTTCGCCTCGGTGTCCCTCAAAGCCTCGCTAAAGAGTCATTTTGAAGACACTGTTTCCAAACATTACTTTTCGATGTGAGTTTCCTCCCAGTTCGTGACTGTGTGCCGTGTCCGATGCGAAGTGTGTTGTTAACGTCGACCGTGTATCGGCGGCGTTTGTCTAAAGATTTTCCATGTCAAATTTTAGATTGTGAATGTTGACAAAATCGCAATTAGTGCTGCTGCCATAACCGTCATTCTACGCAAAAACAAATTAAACACAAAACATGATATGAATGAACCCCTATAAAAAGCTATTTTTAACAACAACGCCGATGCGTACGGCAGAATGTTACCGCTGAGAAAAAACTAATCCTTAAGGATGTGCTGATATGGCTACGAACCTAAGCACACATGCGCACGATCAAAGCTCGTTTAGGCGCAAGTTGTTGTTATTCTCGGTACCCCATTTGTACAATTAGATGCGCCTAGGTCGAGCAGCTGGGCCAGTGTGGTATCTAGTTGCTTGTGTATTGTGTGTTGCATTAAACCATGATTCGTGCTGAAATCATACGGTTTCGTCATTATCACCACCGTGAGTAGGAGTAACGGTAACAGAAAGGTTAAGAAGGCGGTCGTAATACAGAGATGTTACATTGAGAAGGCAAAGCTGAATACCCATTTTTGTATAGTGTGCTCTTGTCTGTGATGAGGAAGATGATGAAAATGCCAGAAATCGGCAGGGCTATCAGAACTACTGTGACTGAAGCCTCGATGAAGTTGTATCATGACGTGGAAAACATCGACAAAGATAGGCAAAAATTAGCATTAGCAGGAACCGCGTGTACGGCGATAGAAGTAATCACCACCGCCGATATCTTCGCCGGCAGCAATAGTAATCGCAACACAAAAGTCCGCCTGAATTGCTGAATGAGTTCGTGACGCTAACAGAATTCTATGTTGCCATACTTTTTATGCTTAAACTGGTCAATCACATAGTTCACGCACGAAACGAAGCGAGCTTTCCATCACTAACACAATTAACGCTGTTGACGAGGATTAGTGTCGATATCGAGAAAAATTTATCGGTGATCCTCGAAGTAAACGAGGCTTGCCATGGTCATCGGGGAGGAAAATGGATTACTGCACGTGTTTCAAAGATTAATAATCATAACTGTAAGTATGTAAGCAAGCTGACCCGGCCACGTATCGAAATAACTTCGGTAACCCATCTAATCAACTTACAAAGATTGATTTCACTTGTGCGCTATTGTTACGGGATTGTCACGAGTTCTTAAAGGTGTGAGACAGCTAGGCACGCTCAGAGGCAAAGAAGAAGAAGGGGCTGTTGCGACCGAATCGACATAAGCTGAGTATTAGTCAGAAAACAAGCAAAGTGGCCTGTTCGCCTATCTTTGCTCATTTGTCAGCCTGAGTCGAATCGGTTCAATTCAGACGAGGGTCTGGGCTTATTTTTTGGTCTTCCTTCCTTTATACGCATCTGTTGCCATCTCAGGGTGCTAGAAAGGCCGCTGCCCCTAGCGTCATAACGACGTGTACCTAAAAAGACGGTGTCAGATCACAGTTAGAGACAACGAACAGTGAAACGGGTGAATGGCGGAACTGAGGTTAACGTTTGTCGTTAGAAAACGCCGTTGGAAGACGTCAGCGGCCGTGAGTACTCGCATATCAAACTTCAGCGCACGTATTACCCTACCCGAGAGATCAGACATTCTGAGAGCAGCAGCTGGAGGGGGCGGATCAATGCACAGGCGGTGCAGTGACGAGCGATATTTACAGCTATGTTAATAGCAATGAGTACCACAACGTGTGGCTGACTAGAGCGCGAGTCGCGTCAGAGAAGCCAATAAGAAAAAAAAAATAATGAAAAGACGCGCGATACGTTAGAAGCGAACAGCGATGGTGTGCACATATGCCAGCGGATGGGAAGCAGGACAGAAAGTGTGAGACAGAAACAATGATAAGTAGGAGTAAAAATAAGGAAGGAAAGAAGAAGAAAAACACTGCGATATCGTATTTGTGTCGTGTCTGTGGGCTGGAAAGAAAAAATGAATAGAAAGAGTATTCATTTTGCCGTCATTGTTTTCACTATCGTCATTACTACCATTACTTGCACAGCAATCAGTAGCCCAGTGTGACGTAACGTAATCGGGTTACGCTAATATACTATGAACTATTGACATGAGCATCGCCTATAATCGGTTACAGAATCACCTGTACGAGCGGGTCGATAGACGAATGTGAGTGGTGGACGCTGTAGGCGCAACTCAATTGAAAAGTAGGCAATTGTCGTTACGACGCTATCTTTGACCATTACACAGCCGTGATTAACCGAATGAGCAGCCGGTAGCAATAACGAATGGTGTGGAAAGAGAACTGGGAGCATTTTTGTAACTGGGACAATCTGCCTTCTTGTGTCACGACGACAACGGTAGTAACAAAGAGCTAGAAACGACGAAAAGTTACAAAATCAGCGAGTCAAAACAGCGGCAGAGGGATGGCTGGCATGATATCGCGAATAGCCATCGTACGAACCGCACAAAGCATTCTCAGCCTGTCTTGACCTGCTGAAGGCCGTTAGGTAAAAGGCTATAGTGTCACCAGGCGTTTCCGTCGTTACATGAAGTCTGCGAGCCGATTCTGGTCAGAGCTGTCTAGTATACCTGTGCTCGATATACCTTGGCCCTTCTCATCGTATCATAGTGCTCCTTCTGTGCCAGTTTTGCCAGCTGCAGTCACACACAGCTAAAACCGTATAGACACACAAGAGATTCGTAGCGATAGTCACGGGAACGGCGGCGCGCGGAAGATGCGAAGGCGAAACGTCTTTCGAGTTGGACGCGTGTCGTGCGCCTTTAAGTACATGAAAGAGTCACAAAATAAGTGACGACTGCCAGTGACAGCTATGGCTGTCGCAATGACATCGACGGCGTGAACGACGAAGATCAACACCTAAAGTTAGGCCGGGAGTTGCCAACTGTGTTGGTACCTAGCTATCGCACAGCATACGGCATTGACGTCGTCGTGTCTGTGGGTAGGAGGGACATACGCTCCCTCCTTCACGCTGGCTGTAAGATGCCAGTATAGCCTGTCGGCCTCCACTTGCTCACTTCACTGAGAACAAGGAGGCCGAGTCACTGGTCTTTGTTGACGTACTGTTTTACAGAAGCAGCATCATTAAGCCAGTGGTATCGTTAAAGGCATGAAAAGTTGGTCCCTGGTCTGATTGGACCTGCTGTTGGTACCACCACCGAGCATGCTGGTGACTAGGTAGACCAAGGAGAGCCCGAGCTAATTGTCAACCAGAAACAACAACAACAGATAAACAGTGCAGGCTCATTCACGAGAGGAACAGGTCGATGCTGATTCGCTAACGCCAAGGCATAGACTGGCCGGCCTGCCTTTCCTCGCGAGCTGAGTCGTCAGTTCCATCTGAATATTGTCTACCGGTCTACCGGTGAGTTCGACGTCGTGTTGGTCATCCGGTGAACGAGTGTTTGCTGGCAGTATTCGTAGCATCGCTCTGGCTCTTATTCATCTTAGCTCGATGATAGTGTCGTCGCACACCGGTTGACGGCGGAAAACATCTGCTTGTTTTAAGCTAGATCGCGCAGGACACCAGTCAAGACTATTAGACCAGACTGAACGGTATCTTTATGGTCGTAGACAAATTAAAGCCCGACAGAAAGTACTTCCATGACAACGGCCGCGACCACAGGTAACAACAACAAATTTAGAAACGACAGTTACTGATGAGCCAGCATCACATGTGCATTTTTTTCCAAGAATTGGTCGCCCATATTCCTGCCACCTTGCCATACCAGGTAGTTCAAGTTTTTAGCTGGTATAACACAAAAACAGGATCGAGATTGGTATCATCTATTTTCGCAACAAACACTTATTCAAGTCATTGCAAAAGTTATAGTGGGCGTACACGCGCCCACTGATACAAACATACCGAGAATGATATAGTGGCGACTAACCTATGTAACTTAAACACGCGGACATCAGACTCGCATGTGGCCGGTCAATCAATAGAAACCCAACTGAGTTGGACGAAGCCGTCGTCCGTGCTACTAATACCTGGGTGATATCCTACATCTTTACACATCGTGCGATACTATTCACTGTTAAAAAGATCACGACTCCACAAGGTCTTATCAATGTTATCACGGACAAGAAAGCTGTCAACAACAAGCCGGACTGAAGACGAACCGAGACCAAAAATTCGTTAACGGAAGCAGCGTCGTAAATCTTCGTTTTGTGGGTCCGTTTACCAGATTCGTAACGGTTCGAGAATCCCGTGTCACGCTACGGATCTGTATGGAGTGCGAGAGTCATCGTAATACGTGATGAGCGACTCATACGTCACTGTGCTGTAACATCATTGTCATTTTGATTCTTTAAGGCGAAAAAAATTGATTGCATGTCGAAGTACGCCCATACCTGGTCCTATTATAACGATGTACGGTGTGGCTAACTAGTTTACCGGAAGAGTCATATATCTAGTCAAGAAAAGGATACTGGTGCTTAATTAATGGGTCGGCCGCCGGTCAGTGATTGATCTTCTACGTGATCTCGTGTGTAGTGGTCCGGTGATTAGCTGGCCCAAAGTGCTTCAAAGATCAGTGAGTGTTTCGGTGGGGTTATCATACGTTCCTCTATGTTGATTCTTTTATTATTCCGCAGTAATAGCTGTATGGTCGTGTCATCAGCATTGTTCGGATCGGACCAGCCACAAATCGGACCGGATCGGATCGGATCGAATTTTCGAAGGATCTACTGTTGCTGGGTTGAACTACATTCGCGTGTGCTTGATTGCTAGCGGTATAGCCTGCCGCTTTCCTAACGGCAATGTGGATACCTGGTCAAGCCCGACAGTCAAGCGAAAGAAACTATAGCGGGCAAATCAAGCTGGCGCCTCTGAAGTACGCCCCTGCTCAGTGCGTTCAATAGAACAGCAACTGTTTATGGGTGAGTGTTTTTTTGTTGCCGGGGTCAAGCGGCGGACGGCACTTTGACAGGTCACAGTTTGCCGGTTTCGACTGGCTGTGCTGATTCGAAAAGAAGCGCGATCTCATTGATGTTAAAGTGCGTGAAGAACGTATGGGAACGGGGTATTTGGGACATATCATCTCCAGCTTCTTTCCATGGCCTTAAAAATGACTATCGTCAAACTAGTTCAAAAGTCCCGTTATGGGGTAGTGGGACGCCATTGTGCAAACGACGAAGAATCACGCGGACTCAAATAATAATGTGAACGTGTTTCTATTACCACACGTCACGGACCAATATATAACTGTGCACAATTTCACGCATGATTATCGCGTGTTGTTGCGGCACATAAACGATGATTGGATCGAGTGCTGGTTAGTGGAGTTGGTAGCAGTGAGCCAATCACGTGTACAAAGATGACAAAAACAAGATATCTCGCTATTCGTTTTTGCGTGAATCCTAATGTACCATAGTTTCTTAAAGCGTTGCCATCCGCATCCGTGCCTCATCCGTTCGGCGACGCTCAGCTGAATTGAGACAAAGTCTATGTGGCAGTATGGCGGCGAAATATCACACGTTTCCTGTAATGTCAGCTAAACGAAGCATTTGTAAAAATGAATAGGACCGCCATTTTTATGTAGCCATGTATTGTGTTGTTTTAAGAATCAGGTTATGCTTAGCAGGACAGAGAAAGAAGGCCTTGTTATGATTCTACGAGAACCTCGTTTCATTCTCAAGGCCTACATGTATACAGGTTTTTGGAGCAGAGGGCTGATATTCCTTTTTTCTATGGGTGATTTAGTTTTAGACAAAGCTATACATGGCTATTGCAAAAAAGATTGATATTTTAACCCCCCTCTGTAAAAAAAAATTCTGTAAAACAACAAAAAGTTTCAAACATACGACATCTAGCGGCGATTCACTGGACGTCAGCCGTATATTTATTCACAACTAAAACAAATGGACAACCTGCGCTTTCTACAACAGCACTTCTATCTGTAAATCTATAGTACATGCTTATTTTAGCCGTTCAATCGGTAGTAATTACCATCTGCTTTTCAAATAAATCTAGTAGTCCTAAGCTGGCCGAACCCTAGTCGTTTCAATCAGTAATCCACACCAATCGTAACTTCATATGTTGACTTTTTTTAATCATAATTCCGCAGCAGTTGACGATCAGCATCTCTTCATGTTCTGATTTTCTTCTGAACAAATAAGGGTTCTCTCTGAAACTGACGTAAGGCCTTGAACACTCAGCCATTGTTAACCTGTGGCCGGTTATCGATAACTGCAGCAGCCTGACATCTTTGTCCACTAACAAAGAACAATACCGCTTTGCGCATGGTGAGCACGTGTTTGTTACCTGACATATCTAAAAAAAACTCTGTAACGCACGAGATATACCGAAGGACTGGATTGGCCAATAAAAATTAATCAGACAAAAACCGTTCATAAATAAATATTTCGGAACTACTCAGAATACAGAGAAGATTTCAGTACCAGAGGAATTCCACCTAAGCTAACGTACTATAGTTACAAGATTCAAGCAGCTAGACCCAATCAGGGTACAAGCTTATGTGGAAAGACAGTTTTGGTAATCCTCGATTCACACGATAAACACTCAGCTGGTTTTCCTACTTTTTCGGGGCAGCTTGAACTCTCATCTACAAATCGATATCGGACTACTCTAAACTTTTCAGTGTACAACTTACATTGAACAGTTTAATTTGGAGATCTTGTTATAGTTTTTGGTAAGCTGGAAATTATTTCTCCGAATGTTAATCAAGTTAAAACTAATCGGCAAGCCTTTGCCGTACCAGCTACATACCCTGGACTAGGTTCCGATACCGACAATTCTAATGATGTAAAGAACTGAAGAACTCTATACTGTAGAATCGGGGATTAGCCCAATATGTAAAGTCTCAGCAGACCTTTTCTTTGCTGGCAGGATCTTGTAGATTGCTATCTAAGACCTAATTTGTTATCTCTGATACATCTCAGGGTTGCAGAACATCGGTTCGTCTGTAAAGCCACAGTGGCCCGTGGCGCGTTTCAAATCAACCGCCACTAAGTTCTAGCAATTAATCCTGACCTAACCTAAAACGCTTGCACTTCACATTCACTTTCAACACCGAATCACGTATGTTTCCGTGTATATATATATATATGTGTGTTTTGTGAGATATACGCGAAGACCAGCTTCAATATAGCCATACATAATTTCAGAAATGTCATGCAAAGGAACCAAGTGACAAATCAACCTGCTGACAAAACAGAACAATGACAAAGCAGGCCTCCTCGTTTCCATCGCCTTAGCAACAAAAGACGCTTGCGTACCTCACTGTCCCTTGCGACATTTCTTTTCCGTAACAGCCGCTCAAACCCTTCACTATTGAACAACGTGAACGAATCATAATCTTAGAACACAGCGCCACTTTTCAAGCAAATGGGCACACTCAGTAATATTGCATAGCCCTTACTATACGACGCTGTTTACGTCGGTCAGACGCACAGATGCGCTTTTTGTGTGACTACTGCTAACGTTACGGTTATTACTGGCGTTTGAAAATTTTCAGGCGATCTCTCTCGGTCGGCCAGTCAGCTCTCAATTCGCTAGTTAGTTCGTCATTGCTTTGACGCGATCGCTGCTGAGGGGCGTTCAATATGCCGGCGTGCTCGTCCGCCACTGGATAGTCTGCCTGAATGGCAGTCAACTTTTGTTATACCTTTACTGTTTTTTAGGAATACACTCATATCGAAGCCCTGACATACGACTAACTACACATTTACTTCACACTCCTGATTTTTCAAGGTATCACACATCTGCTCGGCGCTGTCTCTAGCGTTTTTTCTCTATATATTTCTCTTATATATGCCGGCCATTTCGTGATGGCCCGCTGCTATTGTAGCTCGCGCTTGGTGTTATCCAGCTTACCATCGAGGTTAGCTTTTAAGGAAAACCCTTATCGCGGCGGTAACAGCATTGGACCGGTGAACGCCAGATGAAAGGGCGGCCGCATGCGATCTCAATAACTGAATCTATCGCTGCTGGTCGCTCGATATCTGTCTCTAGCGCTCTTCGTCAATGTCTTTTCCATCGCTGCTACTTCGTTCACACGTTGTGGTTACGTGCACGTGTTCCTTTTGATTTATTTCTAATATGGCTACAAGATAGTGTTCCTGTTATTGTTTCGCGTCATGCAGAGCTAGACCTTAGGCATTCGAGTCGACCTGAACAGCAGCGGACGGTACAAACAGACAGCTACAGAAATCCACCAAGGATCAGACGATCATCCACCTTCTTGTGGCGCTTAGTTGGTGTAGTTTGTCGCGAAACGCGAAACGGTGAAGCGGTCTAGAAGGTCAAATCTCTTTGTAGTGAGAGGTAGTTTGACTAATGGATTCGATACGTCCGGCGAACGTGTAAACGCCGCCTGAATCCCACCCCCCAGGGGTAGAGACAGGCACAATCGACGCTACTCCTGCTGGTGCTGATGATATATAACAATAGCATATGGTATAGGTGTTTCAGTCAGTGAGTTTATACGCGAATTTATAAGGATTTGCACTGACTGTTTAGCTGTGGGAGAACTGACTTTTTTGCTATTAATATTTTTTAAGTCTTTCTGTCGGACCGAAATGAAAGTCAAGTGATTCTATGTTATAGGTACACTTTCCTTGGAGATAACAACGATACGAAGCCTCAGAGTGATGTGGGTTCAGCTCGTATAAGCAAGGAACTTCGTAGCAAAGGGGGACGGCTAGACTGGCAATCCGTAACAAACTTCGAACTAACAAGAAACGAGTAAGCACTCGCACGCTGCAGAATTTTCAGCCAGCATTATTGTATGGTGCCAGCATATATGACTGGCAGACTTGAATGGAACATCCCTTCTACCAAGAATAGACTTTTTGTGTAAGCCTAAAACAAGCCGAAGGGAACAGTAAGTCCGCAGGTCGACAGACGCTACGATGGCTGCAACCTTCTTGTTTGCCGGAAGGGCTTTAGTGATTTCCTCAACTGTCGACTAAGATTACTGCAGCTAAATACGTGGAATAGCATTGACTATATGTGTATTTTTATTAGCGCTATACGATCGGCGTTCGACGACGGCGTTCGAAATTATATTTCGCGCTACATCAACATTATGGCGAGTAGCTGAGTATTGGTAGCTAAAGGAAAAAAAGCATCGTTTGTCTGCTACATGCATACATTAAATCAGACGGTCAGAAGAATTAATAAAAAAGCAAATTACAGAAGAAACCCGAACTATTTCCCCCTTTTTTCTCAAACCCTATGGTGTTCTTAAGATCTACTTATCATCTCTCACGAGTTACTATTTGCGTGCTCTTCGTCTGTCAACGCGGATGAAAACGCGCCAGATGTCACGTAATAATTGACGAAAGCTGTCTGGCGTATAGGCAAAAACGAGCGAAGGAACACTCACGGTAACAAGCATTTTGTAATAATATCGTACAACTACTCGTTTTTGGGATCATAGAGTATCGTCTGTCTGTTCATTCATTACCATTTTATCTATGCTGTATTGTCTTAGTTCTTTGCAGCTTCGGAGGCCACTGCAGTTATTCGCGACTATGGACAGAACCAGGATCGAGATTCCACATTCAGGATGCTTCCGGTCAATTTTCCAGTAGCAGTTATAACAGCGAGTTTCGTCAACATGGAGTCACCTCAACTTCATTGGCGGGACCCGCTGGGAATAATAGGACCCTTAGCAATAGCAACAACAACATCTACCACGAAGTTTACGAATCAAGAAGGGCCCGCCGCTGAAAGCGTTAATGGGCATTTAACGCCTTCCGCCGACAACAACAACCGTAGTAATATAGGTTATAGCAACAGTGCTCATTCGAAGATGTTGCGTTATCACTCAGCGAGGTTAACGAATGTACGCGAACGCCACCTACGGAGAGGTCGAAGTCGCTATCGAGACCTGGAAACATATGTCAGTGACAACCTAAATAATTCCAGCGGTAGTTGGGGTAGCTCAACGTTAATTTCCTTTAAGATGTGCAATGGAGAGATGGTGGAAGGCACCGAAGAGCAGGTGACGCCTCTAGAACAAATGCGGCTGCCAGAGCCAGAGACGGCTGTTGCATTCGATGTCAGCTCATTGCAGAAGTTCTGCAGCTTAGCGGTACCAACCGTGACTCGCCCAGCGAATCAACTGAATGACAGGTACTATTTTACTTCCGTAGGCTTTGGTTTGTGCAGTGCGAATGCAGTTACTGTTGGCATGACTAACTATGCATAGATTTAATATTATGTATGTGGAATATCTATTTAGGCTGATGTTTGTTTTCGTGTATCGATTTGTTTACACTTCACCGCAACTTCCTGTCTGAGTGTGAACTAAAATGAAGTTAATTAGTTTTGTAAAAAATCTCACATCAACTCTTTGTTACTGTCGGTTTCACCTATTCTTTTGATCCATCTGTGCCAGACCAAGAAGGCCACTTTTCTCCGGCAGGACCACAACGGCTAGTGAAGACGATGCTCCATCGTCAGGGGCGCCGATGCCCTTCTGGTCCGCTGAGGTCCGTAGCAGTAATAAGGGGATCATTCGATCGCTTGCGTCACCACTAAGGCTCGTCCTACTGCTCGTCTTCGTGTCGTTGGTGTTCACCGTACCCGGCGCTTCGGCAACGTCCCTTGATTGCGACTTCGAGGGACCATGCCTCTGGCAGAGGGAGCATGGCTTCGTACTGAATGCGCGGAAAAATGCAAGCTTTTTTCAGCGCAAAAGGATGGACCCACCGGAAACGGATGGGTCTCGTAATGAAAAGGGTCTGTATCCCGTTTGTTGTAGACAGCATCTAAACTTTGAGCGATCCACACGAGTCAACTGCGCTAAATAAACTCATATAATTCACTGTAAAACGGATCTGGTTACGAACAAAAGAAAAACAGTAAAGTGTTTAACACATGCGCAAGAGCATGTGGTTGGGGTTTTTCCTTTCGAACTTGTTCAAGATGTCGCCGAATACCATGCGGCGGCGTAACCCCTCACGTAAAACATGCCACACGACAACGTTGCTTGTCCTTCTGGACGTTGCACTTGATAACTGTATGGAAAGCTGATGTCTATTTGAACCCCGTAAGGTTGCGTGGTTGTTGTAAGGCCATTGAAAAGATGTGAACCTAATCGAGTAGAACGAGAGTCTACGGTTCTAGTCCATCTTGTAACGATTAACGTTAGCTGATTTCTTATTGCAGGCCACTATGCGCTCACTCTCGGCGTGGGCTTCAGGCTGCACCTGACTAACATACCGCCTGTTACGAATGAACAATGCACCCTGTACTTTGACGTCTATAAACTCAATTTTTCTAACGCAAAAATTAGTGTAAGTGCCATAATTTATAGCAAACCATAAGATTCGTTTACCTTTTTAGACATCGTCAAATACTATTACATGTCCACAGAGTGTGCCTCGTGGGAAGCCTAGAGATGAATAAATAATAATTTCCATTTATAATGTCTTGTTGGTTCTAAAAAAGTTGTGTTAAACAATCCAGGATTTTTTCTTTCCTTCTTTTTCCTTCAAAGCTTTTTTTTTCATTAAGAAACAAATTCTGAAATCGGTTACCAGGTCCTGCTGGTTTATTTTCCTACTGAAGATATGGCAACTTTTCAATTTGAAGCTTAATTTATTTTTATAAAATTGACAAAAGGAAGCGTTCACCTAATGTTTCTTTTCAAGCCGATCCTATGGCCACCTATGGGCAACACAACGTAAAGACTACTGACTGAGTTACTCTAACTTTTGAGTCCTAATTCTTGTGTATATGCACCCTACGTCTAGCCTATTCGCATCATTTTTCAGGTGTTCCTGTCGGAACGACAACACTCCAAGGAAATGTATTCGGTGGGTGTAGATATAATTAAGGAGGAAATATGGCAAACAGCTAAGATGCCGTTGGCGCGACAGCAACACAGCTTCAATCTCACGATTGAACTGCACTCCTCTGCGGTACGAAGCCACCAGGGTCTTCAGGCCCTACAGGTGGCTCTAAATAATCATCTTAATATAAGCGGGGGTGCTTTAGCGCATAAAAGAATCAAGCCACGCGAGGTCGCTTCACGAGGCTCGTATATTGCTTTAGACAATATTCGCCTCAAGGACTGCTTAAGAGGTGAACAAGCAACACGCTAAATTTTTTTTAGGAACTTCACTATAATCAGATGATATAAGGTATGAGGTAAAAGTTTTTTGACACATATATATATATATATAGAGAGTTTTGCCTCAGTCTGAATATTGTGTGGATGCATTTCTGCGTAGGCTCCATTGACGGTTGCGTATCCTCACAAAGGAATTATAGAAATTATGATATTTTAGTCGTATTAAGCATTGCAACGTTTTGCTCTGTGAATGATCAGAACCCAAATTATTTTTACGAGGTCCAACGTCGATAATAAATACTTCGAACACCTAGTACTCGATGAGTCCTCGACGTAAGTGTGTGTCAATTACGTGTAATAAGCGTACGTATCGTTAAATTCGCTATCTACTATGTAATTGTTACTACTTACCCTAACTAGTTTTGGCATTAATGGTATTAACGATGCTTTTATGTTTATCTGTTTTTCGCGCGTTTTGTTACATTGTTGACCATGACAAAATTACAGAGGTCGTCGAGAGTTGCGGACCTCGAACACATCATTGTAACGATACTTCTGGAAATGACACGGTGTGTGTTCCTGCATCGCAACTTTGTGATTTTAGGCCCGACTGTCCGCACGGAGATGATGAAAATATGCCTCTTTGCGCACAAATCCCAGACTCAGCGTAAGTTCGAAGCAATAGAGATCTCTTGTTTTTTTAAACGGTATTTCCATATATATATATATATATATGCATATATATTTAAGTATGCGACCGGTGACGATCTTGCCTTTCAATCATAATTCTTGTTCTTATTGCGAACAGACGCTGCTCGTTCGAGGGCGATTCATTTTGTAATTGGACTGTCAGCGCACCTGGTCGGGACTCCGGAGCTGCCGGTTTTGAAATCCGCCGGATTCCTCTTGGTGACACAAGAAGCGGACACGGGAACAGCTCCTCGACCCCGTCGAGAGGCCGAGGTCGCTATCTGTGCAGCCGACGGAAACGCGCTCCCAATAATCTTCAGCCGATCTCGCTGGTATCACCCCTTTATCCAAGGCCGCCGTTCTACCATTCCGATAATTCGTCTGCGTACTTCCACAGCTGCTACTTCCGTTTTTTCTATCTGCGGCCCAAGCGGCTGGGATCAGCCGGGGCTTACATCGAGATTAAAGAGGAAGATCCCAGGTGAGATTGTGAGAGACAGAACAATGATCATATAACATATGATATTTGTAGCTGGCGTGTAATTTGACATCACAGAGTCTCCGTCTATGTTGACCGCAACAATTCTGTCAGCGGTAAGTTGTAATATGGTGGGTCAAACTTGGTAAATTAGTTTCCTCCTTTATTTACCCAAACCTACAATGGTAACTCCCCTACAGTGATGTCGATTGATGGTACAAACCGATATGTCGGTGCGTTCATGTGATCCAGACTGAAGAATTACGTACTGGATATCACATCAAGCTGTTACCAGATTTGCAATAATCGAGTGTATGTCCCCGTACACCTCGAACAGGTACCCCGATGGACGCGTAATGGAGGTGTGGCCACGTAAAGACGACAAAATGGTTACGGATAGTTGGACCGGCGTCCAAGTAGTCCTGCCAACGATGTTGCGTCATCCGTTTCGGGTACTGTTGCATGTGCAACACTTACGAGCTGCGTCGGATGCACAAATCTGTTTCGGCCTGGACGATATATCGCTCAGTCCCGAATGTTTTGGGCTTGGCGTCCCAGCTAATGAAACCCGCGACTTTCCTGGTCAGTGATAGTGCAAGCATTATTGCTAATGATCATTTCCAGTTCAGTGGTGACGTGTGCGATTCCTAATATTCAGGACACACGTAAGGTGCAGGTTGGAGGGGCAAACTTAGATTGCTTTATGTTGGCGGCTGCTGTTATCCTTAACAACTCCACAATCAAAACATCCACGTTTATTATTATAGGATACCTATTCTGAACATAATTTACCTAAGACATTATTTTTCTATTTGTAGTAGCTCGCAATAATAATATATATTGCTTTGTGAACAAATACTCCATATATATGAAAGTCTTTTCCAGCTCAATTTTGACAACAAAACATAATTTTTTTATCTATACTACTAATATGAGAGAGATAGTTCGAAATAGCAGATCAAGTTTTTCATCATAGTTCAGTATATTAAATTATTAAACGTTTGCGCGCGTATTTCTTTTCTGCAGTCCATTTTATGCACGATGATCCTGATTCTGAGCGTACACATCCTGGCAATATCTCTTTGAAGTACGAATTCGACACATGCGGGGTGACTGGCCGATTGGGGCCTTCGGACGATCAGTGTCGACAACGTTATCACGCGCCATTGTCTAAGAATGTCCGCGTATCCAAAAGTTTGAAAGGGGTACAAATATGGCAGGTTCCCGAAACCGCCATTTATACGTGAGTAGTCATTCTAACATTGTAACTGCCGTGCCTGGTTTGGTGGAATAGAAACAAATGAGCAAAGATGTTAACGTAATACATTTGGTTATATAGTTAACATTAGCAATAGATAAATTTTCGAATAAGCTGTATGTGTACCAGGATCACCTGCTTGGACTATCTCGAAACTTGTATCGTGTTCAGATCAAAGTGAATCATACGAAAGAAGCGAAGACCCACACAAAAATAAGTTCTATGTTGTAGTAGAGACAGGGCTCCAGCTGTTTTGTAGCATAAAATAAGTAAGATCTGAAAAAAGTGCAGTTAAAAAAGTTTTGTTCACTGTACTTCCGTGTTTAAGCGATTCGTTGCAGAAATCATAATTTCGAAAATGAACAAGTTTAACCCTATTTTGTTGTTTAGTTCTTTTGAGTTGCTTTCAAGGCCAGCTTTTAGGGTCATCCAGTCTTCCGTTTGTAAGTTCCTCGTAATGTTTAACACATTTACTCTAATGCATTGAGACAATTCCTATCGGTTTTTACACTCGCACTTTTACTGCCTCTTACCGTCGAACGCTAGTAAACCGTTAGCCTTATTCTGTAATATAAACTAATTTAGTAAACTTTTATGCCTCTTACAAACTTGTTGAGTTAGCAAGTGTTGCTTTGTCTAGTGAATTTCGTTCGGGTCTTTCAGAATCTTTGCGGTAGGAGCTTCAGGCGGACAGGGCCTCCGTAGCGCAGGGCGTAATGAAGGAGCCTACGTTCGGGCATCATTCCGATTAACTAAAGGAGAAAAGATTTACATCCTTGTAGGCCAGAAAGGAGCGTCCGCTTGTGATGATCCAGTAAGTACCGTCGCGTATCATCTCTGAAATAATGAAGTTCTTTATTCGTCGTAGTTTCGATAAGTTGTTACGCTATATACATACGTAACAGGCGTATTGTGTATCGTCTCCGGTCTTTTTTTAACTAAAGCCGTACCGTAAAAAGTAACCACTTGGACGACTCTCAACATTGACTATTTTGATCGAGATCTGCATTTTTTTTCTTGTTACTCGTCTTATAGAACTTTTTATAAATCGTTTCCCTGTACGATATCAGACGATAGATAATCGATTACCCATACGTTCTCTGATTCTATCTCATTTTATCTCGTAATATGTGTATATTATTGGCAGGGGCTTGAACCAATAATAACATGCCATTGAAATCGTGTCTTATCCACAGCCGCGTGCCTACCAGGAGACATGTGTACGAAATAGCGGTAAACAAAGACGAAAACGTTGGGTCAGCCTCACTGGGAATACCTTTGAAAATAGCTATCATTTTCGACGTCCGAACGGTCCCGTTTACGACCGTTGGCTTGAGATTCTTGCCGATCCCGAGTTAAAAAGAGCTCGCCGACTGCTTCGAGATGAACAGGGCGGTCGGATCCCCGGAGCTGGAGGCGGTGGAGGCGGGGCTACATTCGTGTTTCGTGAGGATCCACCTTCAACGGCAATCGTGGGTACCTCGACACCACTTCATGGCGGTAGTTTTACGCCGTTGATTATTGCTGCTGGAGGTGGCGGACTTGCAGCTGACGAAACAGATCAGGTGAAGTCATCTTGTTACCAATATAGTATATTGTCAGCTATTTATAATAGTATTTAAGTAATTAGTTATGTTGATCGCGACTGCATAGGCACGAATATGTAAAGTATGGTTTTATATTGAATATAAAGATGTATGTGCTTTGTAGATGTATGTGTATGTGTAGTTGTATAGTTAAATATGCTTGTAGTATAGCGTTATTTGATGGTCACATATGGCAGCCTTTGTTGACACCCATATCAGTTTTTTCTGACAGTTTTCTTTCTTTCCTTCATTCACTCCTTGCTTCTCTCCAGGATGCAAAAGAGTCTGTGGGTGATATCTTTTATGAGGAGGGCGCGTTTGACGCCAGCAGCGCGGTTGGTGGATCGAGTCCTCAAGCGCCGGGGAGCATTACATCAGATTTGCCAGCCGTCGTCGATCCTGCGACAAGAGCAGGCGCAGGGGGCGGCTGGTCAGGACGAAACGGGGCATCCGCGTCAGTTGATGGGCGTGCCCTACTTGAAGGGGCAACGGGCGGGTTGCCATGCAAACGTTACGATCAGTGGCGAACCTTTGGGGGTTTTGGAGGAGGTGGCGGCGGATGTCTCGGTAAGAAGCAGCAACGATTTAGCGGAAGCAATAATGGCTTCGTGGCGTGCATTTATTTAATCGATGCTGCTAAAATGATCAAATTGAGTCAACTCTGTTTTATATCAAGTTGTTACTGCGTTGGGACTTATCTGTCAGCTTGTTTGGTAGCCGCAATAAATAGTGTAGAACAGGTTAATCGTTGCTTCGCTTCTAAAACTTACTGCAACTGAACTACTTAAACCTGTAATCGACTTGTAATAAGGTTTGAGTATAAAGACACATGTACTTATAAAAAGATTTCCTTTCGCGTATAAATACCGGTATGTAATATCTGTTCTTCACTTGCGCTAATGTCTCTTAAGCTAGGCAAGTTTAAATGTGTTTCAATTATACTTACTTTTCATTTTCTGCTTTTTTTTGTACTTTATAATAACAAAAGGCGGAGGTGGTGGTGGGGGTTGGCGTGGAGGAGACGCTCCTTCCGGAAGTTCAGATTTACGTGGCCGTAATGGCGCTGGTGGGGGTTCGTTTGTGCTGAAGAGAGAGGCCGTTGATCGCGCAACTGTTTACAGTGGCCTCCAGCATCCTGCCTACCTCAAATACTATCGCAATGTTAAAATCAAGGTAAGCACTTGAAGGAATTGCTGGGTGTCTGTTCGGCTAGCAGTTTATAATAACAAGTCTAAATATAATAATATTATTATTATTATTGTGCCGTAATTGAAATTCGTTAATCTCGGCCTTTGGGCGTTGCCTGCTTTGATTGCAGGCGGATGTCACATCTGGATCAGGTTTTGTTGTTGTCGTATCTTCACTTCACGTTACGTGTCCATGTAAAGAGCTCTGCATACCTGTTTGGTTGGCCACACGTGCAGCGAGTCCGGATCAGCCATCGCTTAATCCCCGTTTCCGATGCGCATGTCATCAGCATCCCGCTCGGGTCGTCAGTCGAAGTGACAGTCAGTATTCAGCGATGAGGACACACACAAATGTTTAAGAGCGAGAACCAATTGACTTCTTAGTACTCACCTTACCTAGAGTGTTCCTAAGAAACTACCTCATTGACGGAACACATAATGAAATCCCTTTAAAATATAATTCCGTTTTGTTGTTCCTGTTTGGTTGTCACTTTCAACTTGCGCGATTTGCTTATCGTGCACCATAACGACTGACTATCCAGATGTGTCGTGTGTGCCAGCGGGCTCGGCTGCTGCATCAGAGAACTCGGGATTGCCTACCGATCTGCAACTTTCCTACTTCATGATGTTACTGATCTGTATACTCGGCGCCAGCATCCTTCTCGGTGTGTTTTTATGTACGTATTAGAGAAAAACGTGCATGGCACGTAACACCGAAGTATCAGATTCTTGTGAACAGTAAACTGTACATACATATTGATTATATGTCTCACTGTTCGACTTACTATCGTATGAAGACACCCCGCTACAGATGAATCTTAATCGTATCTATGAATTTAGGTGTACGCTTATGCGAGATGCGTTTTCGTATCGGCATTCCTTTGGCCGATAAATTTTAAATGATTTGACTGATAGCGGGTTAAGTGCATGTTGCCATATAGTACACTCTCGTGTTACTTATAAAGTATATAATGTGTCACATTTCCAGGGCTACGATGCCCCCACCGTAAGGGAGGCGCAAATGTAGAACGCGACTCCCAGTTGCTAGGGGCACGCCGAGAACATTCATCGTCTGCGGTTGAACTGCAGCTTAGTCGGTTGCGCCAGCAAACCGGCATGGTAACGGAATACAATCCGAATTATGAGTTCGGAGGAACAAATGGTGGACTGGAGTTGCCGGAGATCCCCAGGGAAAGCCTCACGTTGGTCAAGTACGTTTTCGCTCAGTTATTCTTATATATTATTAATAAACTTAGCCAAAGCACCTAATGATTTACTTGTAGGTGTTTATGAGTATATCCTCCACTTACGCAGGCAGTAATATGAATGCGAGTCAAAATAAGTTATAAGCTATATAAAAGTTCGCTAAAAAGAAGCTTAACAAAACTGGCTTACTTTCAAGCGTGCAACCATGTAAAATTGACAACTTTTGTGAATCCGCGTCGTTTTCTAATCTGTAAAACGGCTGTATAACTTCGTTGCGGAAGATCCATTTACAAGCATACTCGCTTCGTAGGGCAGCAGCCTGAAAAATATGTCTTTGGTTTATGCTAGGAGTAGTCCTAAAGTAACTACGTCCAAGCTAACGTGATTACAACGGACTTGTATTCGGATTGCGAACTGATTGTGTCACTATGTAGGGCTCTGGGCCAGGGAGCGTTCGGCGAGGTATACGAAGGTGTACTGACTCGTTTCGTGGGCGACGTACTTACCGAGCTCTCGGTCGCCGTCAAAACCCTGCCAGAGCTGTCGGCACCAGACTCCGAGAAGGACTTCGTAACGGAGGCGGTCATAATGAGCAAATTCCAGCACCCCAATATCGTGTCCTTTATCGGCGTCTGTTTCGACCGAATGCCGAGGTGAGACGCACACCAGCCGTATCGGGCCGCAATACATATATAAATTTCTTTTAAGAATTATAAGAATCATTCATAGACGTTTTTGACTAATTGTGCATAGAAACATAGAATATAATTACCTTTAGATAGTGTTATGGTAACCTGCTTGTGAACCGGAACAACACAGATGTATTCGAATAGGTTCGAATTTTATCGTAACAAGACAGTATATCGAAATAATTTGATGAGCATTGTAGAAGTTACCTACTTTTAACATCATTATTATCATTCGAACTTAAATTAGGTACGTGGTTTGCACTTAGTGACCAATCAAACATCTATATATGATATAATAGAGAACAAGCGGTTTACGAAGTTCACTAAAAACAAACATATTCACTTACTTAATTCTCAGGTTTATCGTTCTGGAGCTCCTGGCTGGGGGGGACCTGAAGTCATTTTTACGGGAGTCTCGGCCCAAACCCGGTCGACCCGGAAACCTTTCCATGGGGGATCTGCTTCTGCTTGCAGTGGATGTTGCACGCGGATGCCAGTACCTCGAAGAGAAGGTGAACGTGCCAGGATTATCTACTAATATGATTATATTAAATTATCATAAATAATTAAGAAAGGAATGAGGCTATTAATAAGTAATCTATCTCCATCTGGCAAACGTTCACTTGGTATATGGGTCGTATCTGGGGCCTATTTTTACCTTGAAGCAAGACCAAAAAAATAGCCTAGTACACAGACGGGCTAGAGAGCGGACCCAGACTGGCGTGAACCTTTCTTGTGACCTTTATTTCGAAATGACTGAAATTTTAGGGTTTTTACTTAAGGATTCATTCTAATTACAGCACTTTATTCACCGGGACATTGCGGCACGGAACTGCCTTTTGACCTCACGTGCGCCCGAAGAGCGCCAGGTGAAGATCGCCGACTTCGGCATGGCTCGAGATATCTATAGAGCGGATTATTATCGTAAGGGCGGAAAGGTACGGATATCAACTGGACAGAAATATATTAATTGTAGGATAATACAATGTAAGTTAATAAAGAGTTATATAATAAATAATAATAAAAAAAATTAGGTGTCCAAGAACGATTGTAGGACTGACGCATGGCAACCGAAGGTTATTTCCGTACTATTACCTGCTAAGACAGAGGTTTTGATGCCTACACCTTCAATCTTTATAATACGTATTTGATGCAAAGCTAAGTAAAGGTAATAAATTTTTTTCACTTTACAAAAGACGCAACGTTTGCAATAACATAATTTATTAGGGATTCATCGTAAACTTCCATATATTCTTTCGTCTTCCAACAAATTTGTTGATTTTTTCTTGGAAGAAATCTATAAGTCTGCTTTTGAGCAACTCATACACGCAGTTCTAGAAAAGTTTTTTACTGTCGAATATATTCTTAAGAATTTAAAAAGACTAACTCATCGGTGCGATATCCGAAGAATATGACAGGTGTAAAAGGAACTCCTACTTAAACCCTTGTAGGGGGACTAGCGATCGTTGCCACATGCGCCTCGACAGTGCCCTTTCTATAAAATATCATCAGAGCAACTAAGTTATATTAGCACCTTTGTTAACTTTTTTTTTAATCGAGAGTTTCCCAATGTACAAAACCCTTTCACACTCACCTAACGCAAATCGTGGTTCTTTTCCAGATGACGGCCCACCTTAATCCTGGGCTTAGGATTATTCCCTAAAGCTACCTATATGTACCATATATATATATATGTTTCATAGCGAAGTCTAGGTACCATTTTTCTTCCTCCATAACTATTCTGCTTGGGAACCTGTCATTGTAATATTCGAGGTAACATCGGTGAGGGATTAGATATTTGGGGTCAACGAAAAGCCGGCCTTCGCGCGTTTTATCCACTCTGTAGCGCATTCAAACATCTAATGTCTGATAAACTTCGATACATTCAAGATGTCCGATAACAGTCTACTGTTTGTAACCTACTTTCTCTGTCAACTAGAGAATTGTTAATCAACCGGGGTCCTCAAAGTGGGATACAACCTCTTGATACAGCAACATCTCATCTTTGAACTTAACAAACCCCTTCGAGCAGTCGTTTCAGTCACAAAGTCGTCGTTATACAAGGAACTGTTGACCTTAATAAAAGGCAAAACATAGTTGGTCTTGAATATGCATTTTTTTTTCATTAGAAATATCCATATTTGGAGCCTGAACTCGATATAAACTTAGAGTGCCTAAGCCTTGTGGTACTTAGTAATGTAAGAAAGAGGTAAAAAGGAGTACTTAGAAATGGTTTACTAAAGTAAAAAAACGGAGAAAAGATGAAAAAGGAGGCACTGCAAGACGATCCTGCGCTCAGTAATGTTTCAATTTGATGTATATCTAGATTTAGGTATTTAATTTAAGTTCGGATTGACAAGGCTTGAATAAAATTGCAAAAGTATTGTTTCATTGATTTTCTATTAGGCGATGCTGCCTGTAAAATGGATGCCTCCTGAAGCTTTTCTCGACGGTATGTTTACCAGCAAAACGGACGTTTGGTCATTCGGTGTTCTCCTTTGGGAAGTTATGTCGATGGGATATATGCCATATCCTGGGCGTGGAAATCAGGAGGTACGTTTTCCATCATAAATCAGAAGTTTCTTATGAATCTTAAATCGGTGTTGCTATTATTATTATTATTATTATTATTATTATTATTATCGTAACTTGGAAGATGACTAAACGATGTAGGTGACAAGTACAATGAACGCCAGTTCTAATGTTTTTACCTAGAGAAAAATTATCTCTATGGTGACCCAAACCCAAACGGGTACAATAGATCTACGGGCAACAAAATTTTAAGGTTGCCATATTTATTTTTCAATTGAACTACTGTATCCAGTAAGGCGATAAAAGTACCTCGATGACCCTTGTTGGTTTTACTTTGCCTCTTTAGGTGATGCAATTGGTAACTAGTGGTGGAAGACTAGAACCGCCTGTAAAATGTCCGGGGCCGGTGTACCACATTATGACCCAGTGTTGGCACCCATCGCCGGACGAACGACCGGCCTTCGGAACTATTCTCGAGCGGCTTGGCTACTGCTTGCAGGTATTTTCCGCTAAACTCGTTAGGAATCACTTACTGCTTTACGATGGTTGAGGTTGATATTATCAAAAACAAGTGTATTTTACCCTCTGGAATGATAAAAAGATAATAAATCAGCGGGATCAAGTAGGTTCGCGCACATATCTTTGTTTGAATTCAAATGTGCGCGGGATTCACGAAAAAAACGTATATTGAGATAAAAAAAAAATTTCTTTTTTAGTTAAATAAGGAACAATAGGCGACGGTATACGAAAATAAATGCTAATGAGTGCACATGCAGCGCAATAGATGATCTGTTTTTTCAACTCGCAGGACCCCGACGTGACGTCAACAGCTCTGCCCACGTTCCAACGAGCGCCGTCCATCGAGCGACCTGACATCGGAACCGGATATAATACTCATGGTCTGGGCCGATCTTCTGACCCTTGGGCACGCGGTGGTAAGGACAAGCAAACACCAGGATCTGACTTAACGACACATCGGTCAACACCTGGCAGCGAGAGTGCTCCGCTACTGTCATCGCCGCCGCCTGCCGCTGCAGAGGTAGGTCACCGCTGGACCTTTGCCCTAGCTAGTGTTTGTTTTAAATTAATGAGATTTTAAACAAGCCCAATATATTTATGAGTAATGAAAATGGGAACACATAATAATTTTAATAATGCCTTTTTACACTCTATCAACTCCAGTCGAACTCACCTACATCACCTTTAGACGACTATATGGTACCAATGGGCCAGTTCGGGCAGTATGTGGGAGCCCCCAGCACAGATCTGGTGAGTCGAGTGGGCCCATTGTCACCCTTCTCGCCAACGGTGGGCACACCTCTGTCCCCAGCATCGATATGCGGAGCGCAGCTTTCGCCGACAATCCCGGCACCGCCGCCTCCACGAGCGCACAACAATCATATACTAGGATTGGCAGTCAATGGGACGCCACAGCACGGCAGTCACGTCCCGTATCAGCAAACGCCCCCGCAGCATATGTCATATCGATCACAGGTAGATAGACACACCTAAATTTAAGCCCAATGAAAACAGACCCTTTTACGATTTGAGGTGGTTAAAGAAAATTCACATATATATGAGAAAGATCGCAACTTAAACAAATGTCTCTACATATTTGTCAAAAATAATAAACTACAATAACAATATGAATCAAAAAGGGAAATATAATATATCATCCTCATTCGTGTTGGACAGCTAGTAAAAGACTTCACCCGTACATCAGGCGTCAACTTCATACGTTTGTTTCAGTTATAGCCTATAATAAAAGTAAAGAAAAAGAAGTTATATTAAATAATCTATGTCTCTTGCTCAATGTGCTATAACTTTTCAGGACGAAGCGGAACTCCCAATTCTCGAGCCATTGACATCACAGCATAAAAACACCAAAAAGAAATCATACGCAAACGTAGGTATTGATCATCGACGAACACCAAGACATAAAGTTCAGAGCGGGAACGGCCAGCCTCCTCCCGACTCGAATAACAGCTTTAGCGAAATTAGTTGTTAGAACTACCGGATAGGCATACAACAGTATCGCTCTGTCACTACGGCCACAGACCATAAAATGGCGCACCTTCATCTGCATCGCGTCTCAAACGTTATGGTCGATAAAAGCGACTGATCGGAAACCAACCATAAAAGTACTCCGTGAGTGCACGCTAAATTACGCAAACGACATTGTTCAAACAATAATCACCGTAAATTTTCTTTGAGTAAAATCACTTGTTCCCTAATATTCAATTATGATATTCTTAGATAAGGAACGATAACCTGTCGATAATGATGACGACGACGACGATCATCTCTGATCATAACGGTAATGATTCGAGATGATGTTCTGCACAGTCACACGGTGATGATGAATGCTTTTACTTTAAGCATAACTACTGACTGATATATGTGCCGGTAGATAAGAGTAATAAAGTAAAGGGAGCGGAAAAGCAAGCGAACAAGTACCGGCTCGTCTTCCCAGCCTGGAAAAATCCTGAAAGTGCTTGAACCCTCGCTGGTTTACCGATTGCTAGAGGACAAGGTCCCAACGGCCTTACCGTACAGCCGACCTCTTCCTTATGACAGAGCTGCCAAAGGGAATCATTGCCTTGTAATATGGCTGAATCCCCGCTCAGATGTGTGGTCATCGGAGGTACTCAACTGTGGTCTGTTGTAAATACTTGTTGTTTCCTGCCTTCTGTTATTTCTTATATAAGACCAAATGAAGAAACAAGCGATGCTTAAGCCGCGTAAAGTCAGTTATAAAATAATTCTTATTAGTTCAAGTTGTACTCGTAGTAGTCATAGTTGTTAATATGGTATGCTTACGGTAACTGGGACTGTGTATGACATAAGAGAGAGAGAGAGTTCTCTTCTACAGTAGCCACTGGCCAAAAACTAGGTTTCAATTCGAGATCCGGTGCTTAACAATTAAGGTCCAAGTAGCACAGGACAAAATTTGCGCTCGATGTATAGGACCACAGAAAAGGTATATCAGCTCTGGTAAATCGCCAAAAACGATCTCAACTTTTAGGGAAAAACCACATACACACACACACACACACAGCTATATGCACCCAGATAATAGGCTGCGATCGATTTTCTATTTCACCCACCTACGAGAATAATATATATATTCTTTTATTCTATAATAATAGTGTTTATTTGCCCAAAATAACAATACCTTAACTGTGAAAAGTAACGCTAATTTTACCGTGCTTATACATATGTATTGCCTCCTGCTAGTAACTAAGGTCTGAAAAAGGTCATATGCACGATAACTGGCAAGTCGTGAACGATCAGTCAAGCAAGCAAACACACACAACGGAAGACTTACATGGGACCGACAGCTCATCATTGTTCGCTTTCGGTGTGGACCGTAAAAGATATTCTGTGTATTACTATATTACTGGAAGCTGCATAGATTATTCTAATATTAACGGTGATGGCGGTACGAATCCGACTCAACGATGGTTATCACTGCTCACCTTCGCTATCCTAAGACCGTTGACGCGCCAGCGAATACGAGCTGCAGAAGCCTGAAACCTCTGCGACCCTAACGAAGCGAAACATGACGCGGCGGAATGCTATTGTCTTGTTACGTTTTCCTGGATAATCCTTGGCGCCATAAATAACCCCCAACTCATCCGTGCTGCCCGACCACGGTCAATCGAACGACAAAATAATAATAGATCTTCATGCTGGCTTCAAATATCAGATAGAGTAGCAAAAATGTGTTTGTACGAAGTCCATGATATGCCAATCATATTATA